GCAACCCGATCCGTCAGTGGCAGCGGAGCAGATGCCAGGGGCACCTCTTTCTTGAGAACATCTCTCTCGTCCTGCAATGGAGCAACTGGCCGGGTCACCGCCGCTTCAACATTGCAACCGGCATCCATGTCCAATGCCATTGCGTGCTGGACTTGAGTGGAATTCACGCGTGGTGGAGGAAATGCTTCACTAAGCAGTCATTCTGCTTTACTCCCCTTTTGGTCACTCTGGTCGGCATGTCGAGGCAGGTGCTCTTGCAATGCTGACTGATTTCAACAAGCGGCCCGCATTTCTCAATGACTTCAATGTGATGTATGGGCAACTCATCCACTTTCGCGGGCAGGAGACGAAGGTGCCTCTGTGGTGCCATAGCAGAGCTATCTTGGAAATGCTGAATGTACTGCTTGATCCGAGGCTTGGTCTGGTTCAAGTACCAGTTCTTGTGTTTCGCATCTGGCATGCAATGTTGCCAGTGACACCAATAGACCAAGCAGGTCAACGCTGAGCATGTCTTCTCGGAAGGACTGATTAGTCCTAGTAAGTGACAATGCTGGCAAAGACGAAGCAACTTGTCCTCGAGCGGCATGGTCTCTTCCATCAAAAGGACCCAAAGATCTTCAGGCATCATATTCACAACATTTCTGTAGTCTTGCAACTTGACCCTGCTGGATGCGTCAACTTCTGTCTCATCATGAAGATGCTCACAAATGCTTTGAAGCAAGGCATCCTTGTTCTCCTTGGCAAGATGCTGGCATGCGTTGACCGCTTCACAAGCAAAAGCACATGCATCAGAAGTCCATGGTCCCCGATGCGGGATGATGTCAACCAAGATCTTCACCCTTTGCCGCTGCACATCTGCAGCAGTTGACAAAGACGCAACTTGGCCAAGCAATTTATCAGTGGCCTGCAATTGCCTCACGAAAGAAGTCATGGCAACTGAAGTTTCTATATACAGCCCTTGAGGCAAACAACAAGTCCATATAGACTCATTTTCACGATTATATCCAATTTAAAGCGATTGCATCACCGCGAAACAATCCAGCGGTCGAAACCGCTCCCATGCAAGTCAGCGGTTGATATACCGCTTCCATGTTGAGTCAGCGGTTGACACCGCTCCCATGCACCTCAGCGGTTGATACATATATACCGCTTCCATGTTCAGTCAGCGGTTGAAACCGCTGCCATGCAACTCAGCGGTTGAAACCGCTTCCATGTGTAGTGAGCGGTTGAAACCGCTGCCATGCAACTGAGCGGTTCCATGTGTCGTCATGGCCTCCCGTTCTCAGAACCTCCGGTTCTGAAAAATGAAGCATTGCCGCGGGTACCCATGCAGCAATGCTTCAAGTTTCGTAGCCGGATTTGCCCGAGCAGGCACGTTAGCCCATGCATCCTGCTCTCATACACCACCTGCTTTATTGCTACAGGTGATGCGTTGGCCCCAAGGCAAGGTTCCAGCCCCACACCCGGCCAACGGTGTGACCTCTTCGAGGAGGTTCCGGTAGGGCGAGTTAAACAAGTCAAAGAGAAATACCGCTCCCATGCAACCCAGCGGTTGAAACCACTTCCATGTTCAGTCAGCGGTTGAAACCGCTCCCAGGCAGAACTTTTAGCGGCTGATATACCGCTTCCATGTTGAGTCAGCGGTTGACACCGCTCCCATGCAACTCAGCGGTTGGAACCACTTCACTGCAGCGGTTGCCACCGCTTCCATACCCTCTTATATTTTTTTGGCCGCATCGAGCGACATAGCAACTAAGTCATCTATAGCCGTTCTCTGTCACACGCTGCAAGAGATGCGCTCGAATCATCTCCACCTCATCATCATTCACAGGCCACTGCTTCACCAGCTCATCGAAAGTTCGCCTCGCAATCATGATCTTGAGGTTAAATTGCATGATGAACATTGCCAAATCTACGTTACACGTGCAAAATCGTGCCAAGTCACTCTTTGACATGGCCACTAATGCTGTGGCTTCTCCACTTCAAAACATCATTCTCCAAAACCCACTCGCACTTCACCAGCACGAACTTGAGCTCATGCAGAGGACGAGATTCCCTCGTCGGCAAAAGCGGCTCATGCGCCAGGGCGTTTGACATGCTGAAAACGGCTGTTCGAAAAAAAACACGATTTCAGCAGTTTGAAAACCGCTCCATTTAGCATTTTTTGAGGCAGTTGAAAATGCTAAAAACAGCAAACACTCAAAATCATCAAAAAGATCAAAATTTAATCTATTTTAAAGACATTTTTTTTATAGCAAAAAAAAAGTTACAAAAAGTTAGCTAAAAAGTTATGAGTTAGTAAGTCACTTATAACCATGACTTATAAGTGACTTATAACTTTCAAGGAGCACCTAAGTAGGTAAATCATGGGAAATCCTTAACAGTATGTGCGGCCTGTTTGTCAGGGGATTTGGTCTCTAGTTGTGGTGTTTTTTTTTGCCTCGGGGGCCTGAGGCACTTTTTTTTGCCTCTGGTGTTTCTAGGTATACATATATATATATATATATATGACCATTTGTCAAAAATAGTTGTTTAGAAGTTTAGTATTGGTTGTTGATAATTCATCTGGATCTACTGTTTTTTCCTCTTCGTTATGAGGCGGCACGCAAGTAAATTCAGCAATTCTGCAAGGCAGCGCCAGCAAACCCGCTAGGTTTGCGCTAGGATTGATTGACAGCCATGCCCTCCATGTCGTGAATGTCTTGCCAGCTTTTCTTACAAGTCTGTCAGTTTCCACATATTCCCCAAATTTTCGATTTTTTTTACGTATTTTACGCGCTAGATCCCCGCTAGCAACGCGCTAGCGAAAATTGCAAATACATGCCCCGGTCCACCCACAGCCCATTCAGAGGCACAGCAATGTTCACGCTTTGGTAGCTTACAGTAAGGAAACAGCGTTGATCAGGAGGCATGTCAAGAAGCATATTGCATTCAGAGAGGCACACACACAGAGACGCACAGTTCAGGAGGTACCAGCGACAGCGAATGAAAACCGACGTGCGTTAGCCGATTCCTGTGGTTTTAGAAAGATTTCCAAAGGTAACGAAGAATTTCCACGTTTTCATCCAAAGGGAGCCCAGACATCTCCGCAACAGGTAGCCGATCATGAAAGGCAATACATGGAATTGCAAGCAGCTTTTGCCCGCATGAGACAACGAACGATTGCAGAGAGCCGACCAACAAATTCCACACACCTGGACCGCCAAAGTGGCTTAAATTAATAGTCTACTTTGACCAGTTGCCTATTTTATTTGCCACTTTCATGATTTCCCCAAAAAAACCGTCCACTTCCAGCCAAAATAGTAACCTTTTCCCCATGCCCAATTTCCAGCCTCCTACGCTTGCCCAGGCAGCATTTTACCACTTAAGGAATAGCACTTGATTTTGGGCCAAAAGCATTTGATTTGGGGTCCCAATTTTGGCTAGCATTATTGTATATTATATATTTGTAGTGTCCATTGAGTTGGGGACCTAAACTTGTATAGTATACATTGACTTCTTGTGGACCTAAGTGTTAAACCTATCTGACGATCTACTATTACTAATCTACATATTTGTAAATATCTGTGATGCCCATTGAGTTGGGGGCCTAAATATTCCTTTGATATGGTGTATGTTGACTTCTTGGTGGCGTACTATTGCTTGGCAAGGACCCCTGAAGTCTTGATCCCAAATCTAATGCAAGCAGAAAAGGTGATCTTGTAGATCTCCATGTCCAAAAAATGGATGTTGACTTCTGCAAGTTTCAATTGAAACTTTCCTAAATCCTAGGTTTGCTGAGCATGTCGTAGATCTCAGCCTGTGATTTTCAGCAGTAGACATCTACAACACACCCCTTTTCCCTGGAATCTCTACAAATTTCAATTGAAAAGCTCAGATCTGGGACTTCAAAATTCCAATGTTGACATCTACAAAGTAGAGCATTTAAATCAACTATTTTACTTGCTACTTGATTTGGGTCTCGTAGATAGAACTCCAAAATGACTTGATTTAGGTGAGTTTCGGACGAAACTTGTAGATCACCCCCCCCGAATCAAGTGTCAAGTAAAAAAGTAGATTTATTTTGGATCATGCCACAGCAAAAGGATTAGCGGGATGAGGGCTGGGGGCTGGATGGCCCCTGGGAGAACTTAGGGAATAGTTAAATGATGTTAGATGGGATAATGATTTCTTGGAAATATTTATAGGCGCATTTACCATCCCAAATCATTTGCATTTCACCCCAAATCTATTGCCAATCCTTACTTCATGCTGCAGCATTTTGCGTGGCCAGTTGGGCAGCCTAACTTATCCTAACTCCATAAAGTTTCATTGATCCACCAAGTGTTGGATAATTCCAAATTTGGAGTGGCCAGCAAGCACATGGACATACATAGGCCCATATTTTTTTGTGATCAATGACTCAAGTTTTATGGAGCATCGCACTGACATCAGTCACATCCCATGGCCCTTTCGGCGCTCTCATTCTTGAAGATTCCTGGCGCCAAGGAGCGCTTCAACCATTCAAAGTATATGGCAAATTCCAATGTACTGTAGACCCTAACCACGGTGAACATGGAGCCCCATGGTTTGAATAAGTCAGGAGCACGTGGATCGACAGCAGTCTATGCAACCTGTCCCTTGGTAGAACCTCGTTTGCAAACAGCTACATTGCTTATAGAGATATCTATGCGCACTTGCAATTTTCCTGGGACTTAACTATAAGGATCTGACCCCTGATGATACTTATCCTTTTTTATCAATTGCCACGCATTTCCTGCCCAGGAATTCCACGCTGCTGGTCCTCATCAGTCGCTCCAGCTTTTTTATCATCCGATCTTTCCATCCTGCAAGGGTTGATTTGGGCAGGTAGAGTGGTGAAGCACTTGGACATTTCCATACCTGCATGGTGGAATTGTAGAAAACTAAAGTGTGACTGCAGCATTTGGATATTTCCGTACCTGTAGATCTTTTTCAGTGCTCTGAGTGTCATCCCTGGGGGCCATTGCATCCCCTAAGTCATGGCAGCTGCTGCCCACCCGTCGGAGTTAGCGCTTGATTGGGAATCTTGTGTGGCTATCCGCTCTAGATTCCGTCGAAATGTTTCATGGATTCAGTGGCCGGTCTCCCCGGCAGCTTTGGATACTAGCCATGCTGCTGGAAATGAGGATGGGGTGCCAACTGATGAGTTGGACGATGTGCCTAAACGCCCTGTTTGTACAAAGGCACTGGAGTTGAATGCCGATGCCTTGCAGTGCATGTTGGAGTCTTACAACGGTAGCTTCGTTGACATCCCCCTGCTTCAGGGTGAGGCCACTCTGCACACAACATGTTGTGCCAACGGTGTTCAAGTGAAGTGCCATATACATAATCATACATATATATATATATATATATATCCATACAATTCCATACACTGATTAGCTCTCACATGCATGGGGTCAATTAACATGTATACAAGTGAAAGTTATGGTACTCAACCAATCTGACCAAACCCTTCCCCATGTACGCCCGGTGCAGGTGCAGTCACTCTACAAGATGATGAAGCATGACACCGCCAACCCGAAGAGGGACAGTTACTGTGATGCTTGGGATTTGCGACGCCTTTATACGTTCAGTTTCCGCAGACAGCTGGACACCAGCAAGAGGGGACAGAAGCCTCGGGACAGGGGTTTCAAACCTTTCATCATATTTTTTTAAAAGAAATATTTGACAAACCTTTTGAGAAAACAAAACATGCATATATTCCAGACCTACCTGAAACCTTCCCTGCCAGGACGCCAAGGTTCGCAAGCTGTTCTGCAAGATTGCAGAGTTCCGCAAGTTTTGGAAGCTTCAGGAGTTGGAATGGGCAGGGGGGACTGAGCAAGAGTTTCAGGCAGCTCTTGCTGAGGATGATGTTGAGTATACCACGGAAAACCCAGAGTCCCCAGCCACACCAGCAGCTACCCCGAGCCCAGCAGATACCCCAGCCACCACAGCAGCGACCCCGGCAGCCACCCCAGCAGCTTCCCCAACCCCTGCGGCAAATCCTGATGGGGGCCCAGCCAATGAAATGGGGAGAGCTAGTTCTTTGGTGTCTGTTGCATCTACTGAGCCAGAGTCAGAGTCGGTAACGGCGGTCCAACAACAACTGGCCGCCCTGGGCATTGATGAGAATACTTTGTCCGCCGACCAGCAAAGGGAGCTTGAGGAACTGTTATCCAACATTCACAACTTGGAAAATGCTGATGAGTAGCAGCCTAAGAATTTTTGTTTGGAGAAAGCATTACCCTTGCATTTTGTTTTTGAATATACATTTGAAGCATTTATATATTTTCAACCCAGGTCGCCAGCCCTAGCTGAGACAACATCTCCAACCTCCATGGGAAAGCCAAGCTTCTTTGTTTGCAATATATATAGTTTTCAATGTTGGAACAGTTGATGTATAATCGGGAATCTTCCAAAATTCTGTTGAGGCCCAAGGGCACTCTTCGCACTGCCAGCACCGCCGGCAGTTGACCCATCCGAGGCACGGGAGAAATGCCAACATCTTTTGAGCTACAGTGTCAACATACATCATGCACTCTGAATATGTGCAATATTTGTATACTGCTATCTAGGAGATGTATTTCCATGCTAAATATGTGTGTGTGTGTGTTCTTTTTCTGTTTGCTATTATCCTGCTTTGACATGTCCATGGGCCCCATGGCAGTTGGATACTTTGCCGATGGATGAAGAAGCTGTCGCATCCCCAATTGTTACTCCTAGCCCTTTGCCACCGAAGAACCTGGACGAGACCCCTGACAAGGCTAGGTTACAACATGATTTTCAATGTCACATGTGCGATGCACTGCATGCATGTGAGGCTTTGTTCAACAATCCCGTCCCTGAGGTGGAGCAACCGCCCGATGGTGTCACACCCTCTCTGCAGCATGAAATGCGCACCAAGCAGAAGAAGGGTATGACAAGGGGCAGGAAGGCGAAGAAGGATAAAAAGGGTGGGAAAAGGGCAAAGAAAACTGGAACTCCCAAGAAAGATGGAAAGACAGCAGCAGCAGCAAAGAAAGCAAAAGCAGATTCAGGTGAATCGATCAAGCGCTCCAACAGTGGGAAGCACAAGATTGCCACCCTGCGCCGCATGAAAGAACTGAGCCCAAAAAAGTCCCATCCTGACCTTGACACCTCACCTGACACTGAGTCCCAGCACAAGCGCAAGGCAATGAAGAAGCACCCAGCAGTTGACAATGATGAAGTTTGTGGCAAACGTCGCAAGCGACCAGCCTCTCCCGCACCGGCAGCACCCAAGGGGAAGGGGAACACCAGCAAGGTTAAGTACGAGACCTGGGTTGAGAAAGCATCAGGCAGTGAGGGCCCGTCCACTTGGGTACAGGTAGCAACAAAGGAGGTGACAAAGGTTCACCAGGATCGGGTTAACAAAGGGAAGACATGGAGGTATGCAGTCTTGGATGGCCAGGTCTATGGTTGTTCCAATTGCCGCTTTATCTACAACGGGTGCAGCCTGTGCCGCAAAAAAACTTTTCGAGGAAAGTCAGCGAAACAGGTTTGGGACGAAGAGGACGGACCCATGGTTCCAAGCGCAGGATCTGAGGCAGGTGGAAAGGTAGCCAAAAAGGCAAAGAAATCCAAGAAGGGCGGGAAGAAAACCAAGGGCCCTGGGAAGAAATCGAGCGCATGAAATGGAAGCAAGCGTAGGGACAAGTAACCAGGACACTTAACGTTTGCTTAACGCAAGATTTTCTATTCATATATGGTACTTCATTTGGTATTTTACAAATGTTCAATGATGCTCAGTGATGTTTAATGTATGCTTCGCATTTCGCATTCATTGTTTTTTTGGGCTTAGGATTTTTCCCCTCTTGCCCTCTGCCTGTCCTCTAAGGATTGCTCGTCCATATCTTCGCTGCTTGGAAGATCTTCGGAGCCACATACCTGGCAAATGTCCAGGGTATTTTGCAGATGACAGGGATAACCTTGTTCATCCAGGGGGTTGTGACAAGCATGTCACATCCAGGGTGGTTGCCCAATCCTCCATTACAAAAAACAATTCTGTGAAAGATTGTGTGTCACAATCCTTGGTTGGTATACTCTGGATGTGCGCAGCTGAGTCGCTCTGTTAGAAAGAAATCTTACCATGTCATATCATATGACTCATATGACAGTTCGGTGGTAGCATTGGCTGGGGTTTCAACCTTTCTCACCACCTTGCGTTGAAAGCTGAGGAGTGGTGCCACATCGGAAAATTAGAGCGCATGGTCAGTGGGAAATTGTTTTTTCCCTTTTTAGTTAACACCATGAGACCTTCACAAATTTGATACATCAAAGCGGTGGGAACATCCCTCATGCCAGGTGTTGATGAGTAATGCGTGGAGACTTAGACATGGACGCCGACCGATGATGAGGAAGAGTGGTACGCACCCCTGCGACCCTGCACACATGCTTATGCAACTCCAAACGTGGGTATACCTTGAAGTGTCACTTTCGGAAATGTGAATTGGAGTGCTATGGTGTGTTGATTGTAGACCCTTTGGAGTCTCAAAGTTGCAAATTCCTTGGCCCCTTATTTCCCAGCCCAACCATGCCGATGGCTGACCAAGCGCTACGGCAGCTTCTGCGCAAGTTGATGATCCTGGATGCCCCACTTGAAACTTGAATGCATGCTGGATGCAGGCTTGTATACCGATGACTGGTGGAACACACACCTTTTGTAAATAGATGTAAATATATGTATATAGTATACATATATATATACAGATTTCTCGGTATATATATATAACACATGATATGTATATATATATATATGTATATATATATGTATATATATATATATGTAAGATATAATATATATATATGATATATATATATATAAATGATATATCTATCTCTATACATAAATATGATATACATAAATATACATGATATATCTTATATATATATATACATGTTCTGATAATGATAGAGCTGCATGCCCCAAACCCTCGGTCCCTGGCTTGGGTGTTGGGTTTAAATGGAACTACAAGGTACTGATGCAAACCATCATACTTCTTGTCCACATTGAAGGGATGGACTGGCAGGAGGCCGGTTTGGTTCAGGTGTTTTCCAGATTTCCTTTTAATGTTGTCCCTCTTTAGTCCCTTAAATTTGGGCATACTTTAATCCCAGTTCAATCTCATTTTTGTCCCCTTGGCAGGTCTACGAGGCGATCGAAGTGTTCGCTGGAGTTGCGACTCTGAGCCGCTGTCTGCAACTGGGAGGATTTGAAACAGCTAGCCTGGAAATTCAACATTGGGGTCCCTTCATGGAAAAGCGAAAGGGTAAGCGGTTAAGGAAGCTTTGTGTTGGCAATCCCTTAGACTTACTGACTCCTGCTGGGTTTGCGTTTCTTGGATTGCTTTTACATTTTTTGTTTATGAAAGGTGCATGTTGTGGTTTACCTCCATCCAGCACCCCAATGTTCTTTCATTCAATGTTTGACATTCCATATTCTTCCATCTAAGGTTGTTACTGAGAACAATTATCATCTCCAAAGACCAGCTGGTTGTAACGTTCGGATTGGTTTGCAGCACTTTCATTACAATATCACGAGGGTCCACTTTTCGACACTACTTCCTTCCTGATGGAGATGGTACTGCACTTTCAGTTCAACGCAGCAACCTACTTGCTGCAAGGACGGCACTGACTAATTGTCCTCAAAGATCCCTTGAAACAGACCGAAGAAAACCTGACCCTTTGATATATGCAGACAATTTTTTAATATGAAACATATATAGAGGGTCCCTGTAGTTTATATATTATAGTGTATATATCTATATTTCGCCTCCATGTGCAGATAAATAAATATAACATATATATTATATTTAAAGTGTTACCCCGGATTATGAAAAAAATCCACCCATCATTCTGCTACTTATTTATATTATAGGATGCCCCTTTCCATCCCCTGCCCAATTACCATGCCTGCCAAACATGCATCGCAGGACATTCCTGGCCATGTACTTGGTGATGGCCAAACAGGGGGTGTGGGTGCTGGAGCAACCTGCTTCAAGCATAGTCTTTCGTATGAAGAGGTTCCAACAGATCCTTCGAACTACAAAAGTGTCCTGTTAGCAATAAGGATATGGGAGACCATCTCATTTTTGATATAATAATTGAAATCCTCAGTTATCGTTCCACCTCTGCATGACCAACCCTTTCCACATCAGTCTATCTACACACCTCCCAGTATATATATATATTATATAATTATATATATGACCCAAACAAAATTGTATCTCTATCCCAGCTGTTACTTTTCCCTACTACTGTGGGTATACTTGGAATTACTTGGAATGCCTAGAGGTGTGAATATCTTTTTGATGACCTGGGTTAGCTTTCATTATAGGGGGCCAGGTCCCATCCCCTTAAAATGCTAAGGTCTTTCGACAATCGTTCTGGATGCGTGGCTGGGGTTCACGCACCCCAAAAAGAACTACACTTTGGAGTAATTCTTCGGCTGTCCGATTTTTCTGCACTTCCCGGAAAGCTCGAAAGTATTGGCTTGGATCCAGCACAAAGCTCGCTGATGTCTACTACAATTCCCGTGGTGAGAAGAAGTTTAAGGGGAACCATAACCTTCGCAAGTCGCAGTGGATTGGTTTTTTGATTATAGCACATTTTTTTTGATCCTATAGTTTCCCTTTGTTTACCTCAAGCCACAGCAGATTCATCATCTCCTGTCTGAACTAAGGGAATATCCACTTCCTTTTGGAGTTCGCTTTGCAGAATCGATGAACAAATTCAAGAAGGAGAGATCCCCACCATTGAGAACAGTTGATGTTCCTCGTATACTATAGTTTTTGTGGCCCATTTTTTTTCAATTCATGGTATCTACCCTATAAAAAGTAAACATGAATGCTTCCCCGTCCTGAGGCGCCAAATCCGGAGCACATCCTCGGCGTGCGCGTGATCCCACTTGAGGGTGTGAATGACATGTGGGCAGATGCCCAAATGACGGAAGTCATTGAATACTTGGGAGGCAGTTTTTTGATGTCACTGCCTGAAGCATGGCGCTCTTGCCTGCCTTTTCATAGGCAATGATCTGGGGATACCTCGTTGACTGGTGGGCCCTACGAATTCCCGAATCTCCCCATTTCCGTTTTTTAAAAAAAACCTAAAAATAGTACACTGTGGCAGGAACTCAGGAAAGTGCATAAATTCGCATAAAAGTGGCGTAAAAATCCGTAGGAAACCTACTCCTAAAATAGTACACTTTTGGGGGTCCCCATCAATGCCTAAAATCCGACAAAATTCCGACAATTTTTCGGAATTATACATGCTGGCATGGGCTTAGATGACCTGTGGAACAGGTGGCCCAGTGGGTACAGTGTCCATAGCTGGCGTTTTTGGATGCCGTAGCTGCCTTTCAGGACAAGTGGACTTCGAGGGATCTACAAAGGATGTATATATATATATATATATACCTTTTACCGCCATGTGCATGTGATCGAAATGGATTTGACATGGTAGAAAATTGACAGCTTGGTAATGCCATGATTGAACCTATTATATCTGTCTTGTGGCTCAGGGATCTATATACTGGCAAAGTTTCTGGGGTTCAGCATGGCTGACACTCGCACATGGTCATGCAGTACCCTGCTTCGGGGCTCATCTTTTCTTGATGAGCAAAGGGCAGCCAATCAGACGTTGGGGTATGACGGGCTTCTTAGTGTTCCCAGGTTGCAGAATAAGATGTTGGCTTAGGAATGCAATCGAAAATTAGTGATGATAGGCCCAACCAATATGTTTTGTAGATCATGCAGCCTGCTTTCCAACCCCCATGAGGCAGCCAAGAAGCGTCTCGAAGCTTTGAAGGCGAAGAAGGTCGCTGCCAGCGATTCGAGCACTCCTGTCACGCCGCCGCCGGTGCGTGGGGTTGCCACTCCAAGCCCACCCCAAACACCTGCTCCTGGTTCAGCCCTTGCCCCTGTGACCACGAGAAAATCGAAGAGTCAGGCACATATGGTGCAATTTCATTGCCTGATGTTGTGTTAAAAAAACATCAAAATATACCACCCACTATATAAGCATCATTTTGAAGGTGCATACTTGGGATACTTGAAGGATAAGAGAGTTTGATCCTCTCCAAAAGAAAGAGAATCTATCAGTCTATCATATCTATAATTATCTATATCATCTATATCATCTATCTATCTGTCTATCTATCTATTTATCTAATATATATATATATGTGTGTTTATCTTTCTATATCTATCGATACCTATCTATCTACCAATCTATATGCATACCTTTTTTCAAATAAGTCGTAATATATACATTGAATCATTATATTATATATATGCTATTCTGTTCTGCTTTGCGGCCTCATGCATCTCAAGTAGGGTCTGGAGATATGGTATAAACTCAGGTTTCCCATGCTGTCGCTCCAGGACAAGATCAGTGAGCCTACGACGAAGCAGGTTCAAAAGGTGCCATGCAGTTAAAGGGGGGTCTTGCCTGGCGAAACCTCGCTTGTATTGAAGGTTATCCTTTGTAATTATACAACATTTTCTACATCATCCAACCCTACAGCTTCAAATTTACAATTTGAAAAGTTATTGAAGCCCATTAATGGAGTTTATTTGAACCATTTCCTGGGCAGGCATTGCCTGCTGCAGATGCGACAGAAGACGAAGAGAAGGCCTGGGCACCGCTTGGGCAGGGTTGATGCAAAGACCAAACCCAAAACAAGTTTGAGCAATCCCTATAATTTGAAAATGTTTCCCTTAAGAATCCCCTGTAGGCCCCATGCTTCACTCTCTCCTGCAGGACTTGGCGGCCAAGAAGCAAGCTGCCATGGATGCTTCCCTTCGTCGCATCTGCACTCCCAAGCCTAGCAGTGGGAAGCTTGAGGTTTCCATGGAGATTTACCGTCAGTGGAAAGCAGGGGGTGCCCAAAGGAAATGTCTTTTGGATACCTTGGTCAAAGCTGGGGGCAACAAGGACCTTTCCATCCATGTGCATTCGTTTGACACACACACACATATATATATATTAAAAACAATATAGCAGTCAATCTGTTTCTATCCATGGTGGTTATCTGTTCAACCCCTTGAAGGATGTGTTCAAGAAACAGCTTGAACACCTTCAAAAGAAATCCCGCCGACACACGTTGAATGTGGAGAAGGGCTTCTACACCAAAGAGGCTATGAAGACAAAGCTTGGTTGGAGCAAGTCACGTTCTTAGCTATTTCTTGGTTGTATCCTGAAAACATATGACAATGCTCTTTCTTGATATATATATATATATATAAGGTTCAAACATTTATGTAAATATAAAAACATGTGGGGATTATATATCTTTATCCCTAATCTCTTTGTATCTATTTCTTTAATCTGACACCCATATGTGTATATATATATATATATCAAGAAAGAGACCCATCTCAACTATATAAGTGCCTTCTGATTTTCCCTCCGGCCCAGGGATCGTATCAAGGCTGCTGTGGCATACTGTGCGGACAAAATCAGGGCTAAGACCCATATCAGGCTTGGGCAATATATGATCCAAATTTGGCAATGGGTAACCATGATAATTAACTCTTCCTATGCTTCCTTACCCTTTGTCTTTTGTGGAGGCGGGACAAATACGAGAACCACATCAGGGAGTATTGGGTCGACACTGCCACAACGGGTAAGTTTGAAGATGAGAATGAAGAGTCTTTTCTGGATCGCACCAGCGGAGAAGGGCAAGCAACTTCCTTCGACATGGGGCTCCCGGCCATCAGCCAGACATGTCACAGCCCAGGTGCAGAACCTGAGGACTCTTCGGATCAGGAGCTGGAGGAGGAGGAAGATGGGTCCAGTGTTAAGACAAGGATCCCCCGCAAAGGTGAAGTTGAACAGGAACATGCCCTTGAGGCAGGAATCATCAATATTTTTTTATGGGTGATTTCTTGGAATTCCCCTCCACATGTGCAATCACTTTACTTGACCACATGTCAGGCGATTGAGAATGTCAGCACTGTCATGGCGAACATCCTAAAAGTCCAAGCCCGATTGGACATTTCCAAAGACAAGCTTGCTGAAATGAATACCACTGAAAGCCTTGCGATCTCTACCTGCATTAGGTTTGTTTTCTTATTTGTCAAGTGAAAGATCGTTGATAGCAAATGTAAAGACTAAATATATGTTAATGATATTATCTGCATATAAAAAGATACGATATATATTTATATATACACGTACCTAGTGCCCATACAAATTGGTATCCGATCTCCTAATTTTGTATATATATATATATGCACTTGGAGGGTGTTAGATAGATACAATTATATAATATATTTTGTTTTATACCCAACAGTACATCAGTGATGCACACGAAATCCAATACCCAAACAGTGGCTGAACTTAGGAGCCACAAAAAGGTGACGCAGTTCCGTGACCAACTGATCAGCCTTCATGATGAACTTGCGGATTTGAAGTCATACTTCGATGGCCAGAAGAACATCTCAAAGGCTGATGACCAGAGCCTTATCTAAAAAATCATGCCCCACATGTGTTTACTTAAGGTTTGATTCCAACAAAGATCCTACATATGTAGAAACCGTATAGTAGCCCCACAGCATTCCCTGCCAGGAAGGTGACCCAGCTTCACGGCTTAATCCAGAAGATTGAGACCGAGCCACGCCCTGAGCCCAAGGTTGCCTGTTGGCGCAAGGTCACACTCATTCAACAAAAAATATCCGATGATCCACCGATTATTTTTATATAAACATACACCCAAAAATCATTTTGTTGTATATCAGGACGTCCCGAGCTTTGATGGAAGACACGAAGTTGAGAAAGTCCGCTCCTAAATTTTCGGCGTATACCAATGTAACTTTGCAATGGTCGAATGCATACATGTGGTAGTAGCCCCTTGTTTGTGAGAATCTTAGTTTGTGAAAATCTTAGGACACTTCTGAAGCCAGTGAAGGCTGTACGGGGCACACCGCCCGGTGAGGAGTCTAAGGCTAATCCAACAGCAAAGTGCAAGGCTAAGGCAAAGGCTGGCAGCAGAAAGAAAGGAGCGGAGGGGGATCTTGCTGAGAAGCCCCGCAAGAGAAAAAAGAATGCATGAGAATGAGGCCATGGTTTAATGTTTCATTCATATGGTCATCCCTTTTTCCTTTTCCAGGGTCAACTAGCTGAATCTTCCCAAACCGCCACCAGGTGATCCACTGCTTTCCCGTTTGAGCCTTGTGCTTGACAGACATTGGCACATGTAAGGTTCACAGTTCCTGGGCATCCATCTCACTTACAGTAGCCGAGGCTAGCTTGATGAGAGCTTTGGAACTTCTGGTGGATAGATCGATCACTGTTGACACCGTACGTGAAGCATTGGCCACGTATACAATTTGCTTTTGAACACTTCGCCCAGGAATCTACTTCAAAGATCTTAGACATTTCATATCTGTTCAACTTGTTCCCAAAATTTTGTTTCATAAGGGACAATCATGTGTTTCCATACGCCATCGGATGTGGGCATAGTGTTTCATCCTACTCGTCTCTTCAAAAGGGGAAACCCTTGCAATGAACATATGGCCAACTAGAGGCCACTGCAAACTTTGGGGATCAGCGAGAATAAAACAGGAGAACACATGGCATGTATGTTCAGAATGTTCAAGCGGCAAGGCATCATTAAAATTGTTCGTTTCCACTCATGCCTGCAACACCCCACGCAGGTCCTGTGATGGAGGGCATGAAGTCCAGAAAACGATCTGGTCCTGCTGCAAAGGCACTGGCAGGAGCTGTGGCCAATGGGGCGACCCGGTCTGAAGTTGCAGCACTATTTTTTGGAAAATAAACTGCACCAACATTTACAAACTTAACCAACTCTTGGGCTCCAATCACCTTTTGTTTATAACCCGGGTAACGACCTAGGTATCTGAAGCAGAAGCTTGCTCCATAGCACGGGCTTTCTGGGATGAATTTTCGCCATATCTTTCTGGCCATCCTGACAGTACAGACCTCTTACAGATGGCAAGCAGGCTGTCCAGAACAGGGCATGAGAATCGATTTGTGAATTCTTTGTCCGATTATGGTTTAGCTGCAGAAATACCTTTGAGCTTCGTGGATGTGGGCTTGAAGGAGACCCACCCGATCCTATCGATCAAAGATACCATTCAGTGTTTGGACGATGCTGGGAAACTTGATATCCTGTTTCAAGGAAATGGTGAAGCACAGTTCAAGGGTTTCTGGTTGAATTGGGAACGCTTGCAACCTCAACATCCAATTTTTGTGGCCCACCGAGGGCGAGAAGGCCATTGCATTCCGATTTCAATTCATTGTGATGAAGGCACATCTTTGAAAAAACGACAAATCATGATTGTCCAGCTGCAGGGTACAATGGGCAAAGGAACCAGGAAAAGAAAAAGCACGGAAGATGTTCCAGGATGCAATATGATTGGCAATTCAATTGTTACAAGAATCCTGTGGAGTGTCATGCTGGCCCGGGTCTATGGTGGAAAGCGAAAGAACAAACCGTTGCTCAAAATGATTTCACACCTTTCCATGGAGTTATCGGAAGCCTTCCATCAAGGAATCCAACTGAAACAACACCATTTGGGCAGGATCTACTTGGTCCCCATATCAATGAAAGGGGATTGGCCAGCTTTGGCTAAGATTGGCTCTCTGACACGCCATTTTGGCAGACTGGTCACTTCAGGGAAATCTGTGGGAAAAGGCATCTGCCATTTATGCCAAGCAGATCGACCTGGCTTTGAAAACTGGCACAACCTGACATATGACAACATGGTCAAGATGCATGACAATGCACCATTTCCCTGGACTGAGGAACCTTCTTTGGTCGCAGCAATTCCTTTGAATGATTGCGATAAGGCTGCCTTCTTTCGGTTTGACATATTTCATGCTCTGCACAAGGGCTTCATGGGAGACATCGCAGCCAACGCCACGGTTTCTTGGACATTGTGGGGGCAATATGTTCCACATTTTTTTTAAAAAAAAAAGGGGTCGATGTAGCAATGTAGACTCTGTAGACTTCCAACTTTGCCTGCAGGTTTGCCTCTACGATCAGGCGGTCTTCGGGGATCTTTCGTTCGAGAACTTTTGTGAGGTTTGCTTTGCAGAGTTTAAAACTTTTTGTGCCAAAGAGTCCAAGACTCTTCACATGTCTGGGTTGTCCCGGACACTACTGGGCTTTGGAACATCAAGCGACTACCCAACGGCGAAACTTTGTTGAACTCTCCAAACTTTAAGTTTTCATCAGTACTGTCCCAAAAACTGTTGTTGTAGTATGCTAGTATGCCGACCTTAAATAAGAGAGCATATTTTGGCACCTGCTGTTTGTCTAAGGGGCTGGTTCAAGGGAGCGGACACTGTATGCCTACTGGATTTTCTCGAGTCTTTCATTGGATCGCAACTGGATGCTATGGATGATACCCTCAAACCTATTTTCTTGGAGATCCACGCCACAATCAGTGCGGCCAACGCTTTCATGAGGTGCATCTATAGTGCTGCTCTATGGCTGTCCAATGATGAAAGGAAAACTCTTTTGAGGTCTGGATACAGGTGCGTGAATTCATTCCAGAAGTGTGCCCAAAGGGCATACATCATGGGAGTAACCCGCTGGAAGCTCATGCCAAAATACCATTCATTTGGTGAAATATTATTTGAACTTGAAGTACAGAAAAGGAAATCAATCCCCAGCATAAACCCACTTTGCTGGTGCGCCCAGCAAGACGAGGATTTCGTTGGACGAATAGCCAACATGTCGCGATCAGTTTCGATAAGAACTGTTCATTCCAGAACGATTGGACGGTACCTTGTGGCCTTGGCATCTAAGTGGTGAACATGTTCAAAACAGGTCACCCAATGCCGTGCCCATTTCCTCGGTCCTCCGTCATCTTCGGTGCAGTTGGCATGGCAAGCTGGGCTCGGGTGCCATAACTATAAATGATAGATCATACATGCAAATAAAATCATGCACACATATCCACTCATATGTATACTTGTGTGTACATTCCATAGGTCCATGTTTACACTAATCCTATGTTTTCTTCCCTGGTTAACATTCATCATTGATTCATCATATGATTGCATATGACTATACATGTCTATTGACCAGCCAGCTGTGGTTTGAAGTTGATGGGCTGCAGTGCCAGTTACCCACAATGCAAGGTGAAAAGAGCTTCTAACCTCAGTGGCAGGTTTCTGACATGAAAACAGGACACAGTGGCGTAGTGTACTATTTTTATAGGACACCTGGTTTTCCAGGCAGTCCCAAGCATCAGCTAGGCCGTCGGCCTCAAGCCCGCCTACCACAGGGGAAACAAACACTACCCTGCCACCTAAAATTAGTACAAATACAGCGACAGAGGCTCCAGTTCAACAGAGCAGCCATCGGCCCCCCAAGGTTAGTGCACAATCGCTGGCCGACCAGCGACCAGCGCCACCGTCACCGCCAGCCACACATGAGCCAAAGACGGGTACCGGAGAGTTATCCACTCATTCCTCTCATCCCTCAGTACAAATCGGAGCCACGCAACCGCCACCGCCGAGGCACGAACAACCGACTGTCAATAAGAAGTGTCCCACAGAAAGAACTACGCCGGTCGACTCACCAACCGAATCATCAGACACGCTAGCAACTGACACCGTCGTTGTTAGCAGCCCTGAACCTGCCTGTGAACCCGTCCAGGAGGATGACCTCTTTGCGGCGGATATCCCCACACTGCAGAATTGGCAGAGGGTAGCCAGTGAGAATGTGGAAGTACTAACCACGCGACTAGCCAGAGCCCGTGATAACCTGTGTCGTATCACGAAACGCCTCAAGACAATGCAAGATGGCCAAGAAACAGATACTCCTCCGGCTTCCCCGATCGTAGACAGCGAAATGGAACTGATGGATTGAGTGAACCGACAGCCGACCGTCACAGGGTACATAAGACTGATCTGAGCTCATCCGGTCAGTGCCGGCTTAGTTTGTCGCCACACTCCACAGTTGCGCCAAGAGAAAAGCAGTTGCGTGCAAGGGTGTCACCCCCCAAATCTTTTAGGGCATTCAGGGGCTTACCATATTAACAATGACCCCCCTAAGGATAGCTCAAGGGGTTTTTGTCTCGTCAGGTCAACGTCCCATGTCTCTGTTTCTGTTCGTGTCATACGAATCCTGCTTTTGTCTGTGTTGGTTTCACTGTATTTGCGGAATGCTCCCAACTTTTGTCATAGCGTAACTTTGTTTTCACTGCAGCTTTTGCGGTTCTACTAGTTTTTTGCTAGGTCAGCCATAAGCAACACAATTCGCACCTCACGGCGATAGATAGGCTTCAAGAGTTGCCCCCCCATTTTTAATTTCATTTGGACCGCCTTTGCCAACGAGAAACTCCGACACCGGGTACCGGTTGTTCGGGGTTTCCCCCAGCTTAGCCGATCCACTGGCAACATTTGAGCCCTAACGCCCCGATAGCCTCCAACAGCACTCGTCATACAATAGAAGCCTGACACCGGGTACCGGTTGTTCAGGGTTAAGCCCGCGCCAGGATGATACAACAGCTAATGACTGAAAATCGTTTCATTTCCTTGGCGCCTGATGACCCTGACGACTCGGACACAGACACGGAGCCAACAGAGCCACGCACCACAGAAAGGCCCCATGATGATGTGTCAGCTGCCAGTGACGGTACGGTCTACTATGATGCTTGGGAGGCTGATGATGACACTCCCTACTTCCAACAAGGAGCTGAGCCCCCCCCACGAGAGGAGTGGGAAATTGCCGCGCCTATTGATTTCTCCAACTTCCAGGGTACCCTGCAGATAAGTCACCAACTAGACGCACTCTTCCTCTCTGAGAAAGAGATTGAAACCCCGCTCACGTCATCAAGGTAGGTCATTTTTTTTAAAGGCAAACATGAGGCGGCACGCATGGAATTGCGATTTATCAACAAAAGCGGGAACAGACATTTTGACAAACCGTCATATATATATAGTTTGTGTATGTTTGCGTTTGAATCTTTAGTTTCTGGCAATGTTGAAGGCGGAAAACGGGAAAACAATGGTCACACATTGGATCTCTAGCGTTTTTTTACATTATTTTTTTGGGGCAAAGCCAGATGGGGACATGGGTACGAGTCAAAAGCTGCCAACAAATTGATGGCTAAGAGAAAGAAAAAGGATTCTGTTTGTGGTCCCCTCGGTCTTCAATTTTGACCCATACCATACCCACTTGTAGGGAGTAACATCTGGGAATGTACGTTGGCCTTGACCCTCAAAGTACCAAAAAAAATGCGTTGCCCTCTGGTAATCAAACATTGCAATGGCAGGTCCCCGATTAATGGAGTTTTGGGACAATCATCGAAACTAAATGGATGGATCTAGATCCGGATTTTGCCAGCAAGCCGTGTGTCTGATTATGGGAGGCTACACTAAGGGTCCAGGTATGTCCAGGTATAATAGGGATATGTATAGCCAGTAACATGACGTAATATGTGGGAGATAGATAGTGCCACAGGAGCTGTTGCAGTACGATGGCAGTGACGCCAGCAAACCGCTGTTCATGTCTCTCCTGGGTCGAGTTTATGATGCTTGAAGCAGTGGGTAGTCAAGGAATCTGCATGTGGCTGGTTTCAGATCCTAAAAACTCAAAAATAGTGGTCCAAACACCAGTATCTTATTTTTTTTCTGTTGGGGCTCGTTTTATTGTTGTTTCTTTGACACGGGATCAATAATTGTCGTCTTTGGATGCTCGGGAATTGAATTGAAAAGCGTCAGTTGAATGATATGCTGGTGCATGCCAGCGCTTAATTGGCAGCACCGACAACCAGACCTTTTTTGTTTTATTTTAGTACGGATGGACTGCACGGCGAAAAGTAGAGTGATTATATATTCTTTGACCTTCAGCGGAATTAAAAGCATTTGAAAAGCATTTGCCATCATCCAGCATGCTCCTTAAACGATCCCTCACAGTAACGTGGATTCTCCATGGGTTCCCCTGATGAAAACTGTGGTGGTTCACATCCCATTTTCTCCTCGCTTAGGACGTGTCCAGCGGCAAGGAATCCTTTGGCCCTGGAGGGCCCTATGCGGCCTTCGCTGGACATGATGCCACCTATAACCTGGCCGTGATGACGCTGAAGAAGCAGACGGTGGACACATTCGCCGCTCGGCAGCTCCACGGTGCTGCAGCGACTGGATGTGTTGCAAATGGGCACAACGATGCCAAACTTAGAGTGGGAATATGAGTGGGAATTGTGAATAATTACTCTTCGAACGATTTCTTTTGGGTGATTACTCATAAAGGGTTTGTTTGTCCTTAGACGTACATGGTTTTTTTTTGCAATCCAGTGGTTTATTATCGTTGATCTATTTTTAGCTGTAGCTATATACTATTTGCTGGTCTTCTCGCCGTCCGACGTGAATTCAATGGCCTGGTGCAATATGGTATTCACATGGCGAAGTCGCCGCTGAAGATATTGAACAACGTTGACACATCATGGGAATCATGCCAAGCATGGTGAGGATTTGTTGGTTTGTAGATTGATTTGTTGATTTGGAGGGGCTATTTTTCGGGAAACCAATTTGTTCGGATTTGTAGGAGGACCATAGATGACCCAGTTGCATTTGAATCCTCATGTGTGCAGGAATACGTCTTGGAGCAGGATGATAAGGAATGCCTGGCAGATTGGATCCTCGGAATCCACTTGTTTTTTTCCCATGTTTTCGGCGCTGAATAAATCACCACAGATCCCAGCAGATTGGTGGGTTTTGGGCTTTTTTTATCCACCAAGGATCGCTTATTTTGATAATCATTACGGCAAACCTCTGGGCACACTGGACAAGCAGCATTGCATCGCTCTGAAGGATTTGCCCCGAGCCACTAAGATTCCGTTCCAATCGCAGGAGACTGAAGCTCCCGCGAGCAAACTGTGAGCTGCACATTTCAGCAGGTACAGAACATTTAGAACCAGCCCAACAAACCCGCCAAATTTTCGCTGGAAAAGATGAGTGAATGCTTGGACTGAGCTTGATGGATCGAGATTTGTTTGACCATGTTTGACCACACTTCTTGAATGTGGCGGTAGAGAGAATCCTGGCGATTGAAGGACCCTTAAGTCCCATTTGCAACTGGGGAACCAAGTGGGGATAGCTATATGATTGTTCATCAGTCAGGATTCAGTATTTCTAGAACACGGCCAACATCATACGAGGAACAACAAATTAGGGCCATTGGTGTCCATGGTGAACATCAACAAGGGCTCTCGGTTGCCATGTCGTAGAACCCCTGGACCCATGAATGCCATGTTTTTGTCTTCCCAAAGATGATGCGGAATTGATAGGTAGCATATACCTGTGATATGTTGATCTATGTCTGATCTATGTGCATGTGTATATTAGGTGGCGTATTTAATTTGGTCAATACTATGATTGAACATCATATTATATATATATATACTATACATATACACCTGGAATCCTAATGAACTTTGCAAAAAGAGGTTTGGACCCTTAAAATGGAGGCTTCACCAACCATGCAGGTATATTTATATATCTAATATAATAATAATAATTAATGATAATAATTAACAATAATAATAATTAATAATAATATTATTAATAATAATAATATATTTTTTATTTATTTATATATACACACAATGTATATCCTCGCCCTTCCAAAGCCCTCGAGTTTCCCACAGGTCTACAACGACTCGCCTTGTGCAGTTCTGGGTCTTCAGGGGCCTGTGACCTCTTCAGGTCTGAACAAGGCAGCGTTCTTCATGCCTTGTCCCGCGCGGTGGATAAAACGTGTACAGAAAATCAACAGGTTCCTATCTTTGTGGGGTAAAAACATGTAAAAACCTGGTTTTTGCTGTAGAGCTTTCCTTGAATCAATCCATTGACATGGAAGCTGGGTAAAATCAAGTAAATCTGTAAACAGTCGCAAAACATCTGTGGGAAACCGTGGGACTTATTTTTAATGAAAAATGGGACGGTATCCAACAATAATCCAACATGGATTAACAAAACCCTAGGCTATCAGCAGATGATCACTTTTCGGGGGTAGCCTCTTCAACCAATCAGGGTTTATCAATCACTGGTTGACAGTAGTAACATTATATATATATATAATATACCCTCTGGTAAACTAACATATAGCTATGGAAAATTATAATTTTTAATGGGTAAATCAACTATAAATGGCCATGTTCAATAGCTATGTTTGTTTACCAGAGGGTACATATATATATATATATATTTTAAGTGTGTTGTATTGGATTGCAGGCAACTATGCATAATCATTCACATACCATGAGCACGCGTGGTATCCATGCGATCATATGGCAGCAGGTCAAAGCCCATAATAATTCCATTGTTTTTCATGTTTAAGTTTAAGGGATTAGCATACATTTACTAGTTTTTAATCAGTATGTTTACCGGTTTTGCTGGAATGATTCCTGCAGTCAGGGTTGTTGGTAGTTTTTGCCTTAACATATCCCGATGATGGCAGTTGGTGTTGCAATTCACTGGCAAGTCTCTACTGATTTCATGGATTAACTCAGATACCCTTGTTTAAAAACGTCTCAGACTTCGTAGAACCCGCTATCCATTAGTCTTGGTTACGAAATTGGTGTACCACCATTTATGGAAACCCCCAATGATGTTTTGAGGAAGGGGTAGCCCTCAATGAGAAAAGCAACAGGCTTTCCGCGAGCTGTCGAAGTGCACCCATCCAGATCGCCTGCGAGGGAGGTTGAAACGGAGCCCGAGCAAAGAGGAGGCGCTCCAGAAATGGGAACCGATGGTAACCCGAGGGTAACTGGGGTTGCAACGCCACTTATATATATATATCTTTACCATTAGTATGGGTTATCCATAGTTTGTAATGGATTATAATAATCTTCACTTGTGATGGGATAAGCCTAGGAATGGGGACTGACTAGGGCTGAATCACCACTAAGTGGGATGATCCTTTTGGGAGCCGGATCACCCAAGGAACTGAGTAGTTCCATGCCTGGGTTTCACCATGTTTCACCACTTCACCAATCCAAAATTGGGTATGACTTCTATTTCAGGAAGGTTTTTAATAAGATGTTGAAATCAGCGATGGAATATTTTGCCTGATTTTGCTGAGTCTCGGTGATTTCTTGATTTCCTCATGGGTTGCTTGGCCATTTTGGGAAATCTGTTGGGATTGTGTTTTATGATTTTTATGTCTTTGCGGCCACTTGAGCAAATATGAGGGAGAAGCTTTGGGCTTGTTGAGAGTTGTTTCTGCTCCAATTTCAACCAACAGTTTCTCAGTGGAGACTTGTCTCCATCCTCGCCGGGCTGCAACGAAAAATGGCCCATCATCCCCTCCAGTTGCTGACCGAAGAAACTCCAAAAACTGACATCATCTCTAAAACTCAATCTGTTCAACATGTCTAAAGTCAACAATGCTATCTGACTCACATCAAGACTCTTCACTTAGTCAAACACCATTAATAAGTGTTATGTAGTGTTTTAATAATGATCTACATTCTAACATTTGATGGATAATCACTGATGGATTAATCACTAACCATTCTAGCATCTGTATGACATATATATATATATATATATATTGATATACACCAAACATCCTTAATATATATATATATATACAATAGAAATACAAACTTTCTGTTGGATTCTTATCCTACCTATCCTTTCTCTTCCCCAGTCCGCCAGTCTCGACGCGGGGAGATCATCTTCAACCGCGCCTCAGCGGCCAAGGATGAACTGTCGCTGCCCCAGATGGTGTGGGTGAGATGGCCGTTGTCTCTGTAGGATGTATCATGTATCATATATATATATATGTATCTAATTATACATTTACAATGATATATGTGTATATGACATATAATAAAAATACATATAATAAACATATATATATATAATATGCATAATATGTATATGTATAATATGATACATTATATATATAATACTTGAGTATTTTAGAGAATATATGAATATATGCAGGTGTTGGATTGGTGTTTTTCTATGTCATCTCCAGCATTCACTTGATACTTTGGGAGAGAGAGAGAGAGAGAGAAGAGTGGAGACGCAGATCCTTGGCAGGTTCAAAACCCAGAAGAACAAGAAGGTAATGCAGTGCTACCAGGCAGATGTGTTGCTGTCGCAAGGGTGCAGTTGACCCTGTTGATATTGCAAACCCATAAACCTACCATTTGGGGATTGGTTTTGCCACCCATAGATTGGTGATTGTGGTGACGTTTACTTATTGGGTTTTACGTATTGGGTTTTACCACCCACCCATTTATTGGGTTTACCACATTATTTCAGTTTGGTCCCATTTTTCTTGCCATAGTCGTCTCGCTGATCCCATTTTTGGCGATTTGGATAAATTCTTTTGCAGGGCGAGATGGAGATGGCTGTCTTGTTGCTCTTCCAGCAGGCCGGGTGTTGATATCTTCAGCCAGCGATGGTTCGTTGTAAATAGAGCTTGTGTGGTCGTTTGCCGTGTGCCCTTCTTGAATCCTGCATTTGCTTCGCCTTGTTGAGGTCACTCTGTAAGAATTGTCCAACTGTACGCTATGACATGTCAAATGAATCCACATTTTGCATATTTGAGAAGTGTTGATTTGTATCAACTTTGGGATGGTTCATACTTTTTCAGAAACCACATGGTAGCCACACACAACAGAAGTCCGACGGTTTTCATTGGTTTTCATTGGCATCAAAACCTACGGACACCTAGTCTGTCCCAAAAATCAGGAACATCTCAGTGGAAATTGTGAGGTTGGTCGAATCTTTGTCAGCCTTGGAATTGAAGACTACATGGGCTTCTTTTGGGAATTGGTTTGGCCGGGTTCTCAGCGTGCAAAGGGTGCATTGACACTGCACAGTACACTGTAGCCTGTGCACTGAACATGTTGGGGAGGTGCACTGAGCAGTTTGTTTACTTCTGAACTCCTGGGTCAGTAATATTCAGTGACTACCTCTGCAGTATCCAAGAGAGTTATTTCATGCAGAAATCAACAAAACGTTCACCCTCTGGCCTCTGATCCATCTCTAGTCCCGAGTCCATATACATATCGTTACATATCTGACATATCTGGTATCAAAAAAAAACGTTAAATGGCAGGAACCTCATCACCTTTGAAGCTGGCATCCTGAATACACTCCTTTGCCTTCTGTGGTTGAGTTTTGCCCGGCGCCCAGTGCTGTGCTCACCATGGTCGCATAATGGGCCCCACTGAAGCAGTTCCAGTTGTGCCGGCTGCGCCTTTCAGAGCCTAGGTCTACAAGATCTTGAGACAGTTCGGTGGGCCAGGGCCTTAGTTACCTCAGTTCACTGCAGGGTGCATAGGTATGCATAGGTTGCCATGTCTGCATTCCTTCGGTTGTAGTATCATACTGCTAATTGACTTTTGCTATATGTATACTAACTTATCTGGGATTTCTAGCCGTAGTTGCACATCCTGTATCGTTGCAATGGTTTCTTGTTTTCAGTGTACGGTTCAAAGCCTTATTTTCAGTTGCTCCGCTCAGGAATTAGCAGTTCACGAATAGTTCACGTCTTTTACAGGTTGCCTCATCCAACACTTTGATGTGAAGTTCAAGAGCAAGTTCTTCCTCTTATCTGGTGAGTAGTTTGTTCCATCCAACAAATGGTACGATCCCCATTGACGCGCATATTCATCTATACACGTGTTTTCAGGGGGTGGCTTAACCACCAAGAGCAACCGGGTGATTCAAGTATGGAGTATGGACCTAAAAGTAAAAGAGAGAACAAACAAAGCACATCGACACACATCAAAACCATCACCCTGATTGAAATAGTCATGAATGTGGACCTTGACTCTGAGATGACCCATATATAAATTGGTAAAACGACTAAATTTGTGGACCAAGCACCAATTCTTACGGTAAATTGAGGATCTAGGTACTATACATATATCTGGCAAATCGTATTGATGTCACTACAACGTCACTGGAGATCATGGTTAGCAAGATAACGTCCCTTAAATGGCCGAACTTTTCAGGTTGCTGAACTACTAGTACAAATTACACAGAATTCGGAAATATGGGATCGATCTAAAGGTCCCTGGAAAGAGCTATGATCGATCTGACATTTGCTTCGCAAAGACTAACCACTTCGGGATGAAAGAAGAGTTTGGAAGATGTCTATCAGGTGGTGCACCCCAGTTGTAGGTTGGTTTATCAGCATTGACTAATTTGATATTTGATATATTTACCGTAAACCCTACTTACTATATACATTATACTACGTAGCTTTAAACCATCTTAGTTAACGATTTGGGGTTATGTGTATCCCCCAATATTACCCATTCTTTTCCAACAAATATTCTCATCAAAGTCATCAAACAGCCCCGACTCGGTCAAACATTCACAAACAGGTACTTGTACATTTGCAACACCTTATAATGTTACATAATTTGTTGCAACATAATTAAACTTCTCATTCATACATCCCAAATCATACTTTCTCAGAAAATCTTAATCTGTAATATTGGTACAATATATATATATATATTTAATAATATATATATATATTATGCAATATAATAAAATATGATATAATATTTAATACTATGTGATGTGATATGATATAGTAACATATAGTAACATATAATACAATACAACAAAATACAATAGTTAATTAATAGCATATCATATCATGAAATATAATACAGTATAATTTACATATATATATATATATATTATACATATATATATATATATATAGAGAGAGAGAGAGTCCTATATAGACAATATAGTACCTTCTCACCTATAAATCCCATTCAATCCCCTTTTTTGCTGGTTAAATCACCATGTTCCCTTGCTTTTTCCCATTGTTTTCGTATGGTTTCCATAGGTATTTGTGGCGCATGGGCATTCTGCGCTTCGCCCTGGGCTTCGTTACTACGGTGGTCATCGGTCCAGTGGCCTGGCTCTGCGCTTATTGTTATCATCACTACTCCCCCATGTATAGCTCCCTATGAAGTGGATATGATATGAATTATTATGTGTTTCTTTTTATTGTCAATATTGTTGTTGTTGTTGTTGTTGTTGTTGTTACATATATATATATATACATACTGTATATTGTTATATTGTTATGTATAGTATGCACATGAATGCAAGGATTAGTTATTTGTATCTTAACATATATTACCCTGATATTATATATATATATATGTTATATGTATATATTATATGTGTGCGTGTGTGTATTCACCCAAAACAGGAATCCAACGGGTGGCTGAAACCAGCAAAAAAGGTGGTGTAACCAGGCGAAGGCTGATATTTAATTATCCAGCAACAAAATGGGATGTCAGTTGCTTAATCCCTTCCTAAAATTAACCAACCCCTAAACGAAACCATGGTTTTTCGTAGGGAATTTCCACCTTCCATTGGGACCATAGAAATGGGGTGTTGAATATGAACGGGTGATGGGATCGTTGGGTCGAATCTGCTGATATTTTGATCAGATATTTTGGTGGTGAACAGTAGTGTTGCGTCCACAACAGTAGCAGTTCCTGGGGTTGTACATGATGTGCATCTCAAATGGAATCGTGTCCATTGCCATTTTTTGAATGTTTGTGGGCACTTTAATGTACCCTGCTGTGGTATTGTTCTTGCCCCAAATGCAAGTGTTTCCGATTTTGGGAAGCCGCAAAGTCCAGGATAGTCCGTAGTCAGTCTATCATGAATTTCAATTTCGAACAGGTTCAACCACTTTTTTCCTGCCACTTGGCATGTGTGACTGCACCCATCAAGCACCATATAGTCATTGCTTCCAATATGGGGATTTCCATAAATGGGTGTACCTCAAAATGGATGGTTTATAATAGAAAATCCTACTAAAATTGATGATTTGGGGGTACCCCTATTTTAGGAAACCCCCATATGATACCCGTCTCGAGTTCGCAGCCGCCGGTTGTTTTCTGCAGTTTCCGACCCTTTTCAACTTCTTGGCGTTGCCCCTGGAGCGACACTCAGGGGAAGTCTGTGAGATCCGATACTTCCAGATGGGTGTCATGAAAAAAAGGGTGAAAGATGGAACACACCAAGGCGTATACCCTTTGGTAATGAAAGATGGCTGGGAAATCTTCCATACATGGAGGTTTGAAGGGGAAAATCAGTTTTAGAAGGATGATTTTTCATTGCAATGTTTGATTAACAGCGGGTACGCCATGTACCTATACATTCTGGATCTTCAGGAGAACGATCCATACCTAGATGTTGAGGTGTGAAGAGGCAAGAGAATTGGTGCCTCTTATTGGGCACACATCCAGTGCCACAGTAGGTGCATGTAGGCGTAGGCTCGGCGTTCACCCATGATTTTTGCAGCCCAGCAGCCGAGATTCGCATCTATGTTTTCGCACAGTCCCTGGTGGCCGAAAACAGGTGCAGCTGCAGTTCGTCAGATGAGATGAGTTTGGGCTTAACCTGTGGGACTTTGGGATTGTTGGGCCATTTTTTAGCCGCAAAATCACGCGATTTTTGGGTGGTGGTTGGGATTCAGACACATCACATCCACATCCACATCCTCATCCTCATCATCATCATCATCATCATCATCATCATCCTCATCATCCTCATCATCATCCTCCTCATCATCATCATCATCAATCATCCATCATCCATCATCCATCATCCATCATCCATCATCCATCATCATCATCATCATCATCATCATCACCATCACTTCCATGGAATTCCTATTAAAATGGATGATTTGGGGGGTACCCCCATGACTTAGGAAACCATGTGGAGATGGGCCAAGTTGGAACACACCAGAAACCCAAAGGTCTGAGCCAGACGAGACGGCGGCTGTAGGCACTTTCGGGGGGGAAGCTCCGGGCCACAAAAAAGGAGCAAACAGCTAGATATTCTTTGCCCTCATTAAAGAAAACCGGGTTTCATGTGATTTCTTACTCATGTTTGTGTTTTCATGTCAATGTGTTTTCTATATATATTTTTGATGGGTGCTCTGCTCATTTGAGCAGATTGTAGGACACCCACTCAATGTAGACATGGCGTGCAGGAACACCAAGCGGACCAGCAGAGCATAGCAGAGCCGGGCAGAGCCTATGGATTTCTACGGTATATAGGCAAACTCGTGTCTATCATTCATTTTTTAGATATCAATCAGATGATATCCTGTAATTATTATTAATATCAATGTGTCATTCCATGTCATCCCAATATGTTTGTTCATTTCTTTAATTATCATTTGAATGTGATAAAGCAGGAAACCCAATAACAAATCATCCCATTAACCAACCATAGAAGGTGGTCATTCAAAGCATCATTGCAGTCATAGGGCAAGATTTTTTGTAAATGTCACCATCTCATTCCTAAGGCTCCAGTTTTTTAGAAACATCTGAGCAGTGGCTGCATTTGAGCCCTGCTGGTTGATGATTTCTTTAAGGGGATTCTACCCAACAAAATTTGGTAGATGAATCATAATTGTGTTGGGTTATATTGTAATAATATTGGGGGTATATTATAATTATACCCAACAATTATTGGGGGTTATTAATTATGTTATATTATAATTCTAATTGATCATAATCCAAGAACAGGAGAATCCCGTTCTAAATTCGGACAAAAAACCAACCAGGATTAAATGGAATTACATTTCGGGATTGAACGCAGGGCAGCTGCTCATCTGACTCCGCAGGAGCTACATCTACCCAAGAAGAGCCCGAGCCGCAGCCCAATGTCCATCATCCCTCCACCGCTGCGGTGAAAGTGGCGACGGACAAGGCACCGGGCACTTCGGGGTGCAAAGAGGGTGTATGTAAGCAAGAAAATTACCATAAGTATAGAATGGTGATATAATTTATGGATAGATAAGATAGGAGTAGAGTAGAGTAGAGTAGATAGATTATTTTTCAATATTTACACTCTTATTTTTATTTGATATTTGGATGTCACCAGATGTTTGGTTTACACTTCAGAATCGGGATAGCAGTGGTGCCACTGATTTTCAAAAATGATATGCATCCATTCTCGGGGATCCCAGCTCCGAAGGTTACTTCGATGAGTTGCCCAGCTGTGCTTTACCATGTTTTACCTTCATTCATCATGTGTTTTTTACACACATATGCCCAAGTGTTCCTATGATTTCCTATGATCTTCCCAATAAACCATAATTAAACCTCCATGTATATGTGATTTTTTAGCTCGCCATCTTTGATAAAACCAGAGGGTTGAGGATGCACCTTGCTGGGATCAAGTCTTTTAACTTGGAGAATCCCCAAGATGAAGGGGAAACTCATCTAAAGGGTAGTGCTCTATCGTTGGCCAAGTTAGTGAACAGAACTGCATGAACTAGAGTTTATGGGTGTTATATTGTATCTATAGTGAAGGGAAAATATGAACCTACAAACATAACTTGGGGGGCACCACCGTGTAGAAGTATACTTGCAAGTATCAATTTGAATCAATTTGACATTGTGAGATTAGATTACTGGAAAGCTAAAACAAGAACTGTACAGTTTGTGGACGCCAAGTATGTTTTTGCATAGGGCCTTCAGTGCTGTTCCATTGTGGGGGGAATATTTTTTTGGTGGATGGAGGTGGTTTGGTATATTGGGGACAGGTTCATATTTCAATGTGAAGTCCACGACCTTCAACAGGTTGGACGGTCATTTGCACCATGTAAAACTGTAAAACATCCAATCTGCTTGGTGGTTTGGAACATGTGTTTTATTTTTCCATTCAGTTGGGAGTGTCATAATCCCAACTGACCAACTCGTATTTTTCAGAGGGGTAGGTCAACCACCAACCAGCAACAATCTTCCAATGACCATCCCGGACTCCCATCCCAATGGATTGGTTTCCTCTATCTGGACGACAGATCCTGATACCACCTATCCTTTGGTCAGAAGCCCCCTATGGATCCCTATGGATTCCTATGGAATCTAAAGATGTTCTGCAGATTTTGGTCCGCTCCCAGAGCATCCAAGTACTGTATATCTCAGTGGCGATTGCAGGACGTTCCTCGCAATCTGCGGCAGCGCAAGAAGAAGGAAACGGATGAGGCGGGAGCAATGGCCGTAGCAAATGGTGCGGCCTGGCCCTGATGGCTTAACGAAAATGATTCAACCAGAATTTGCGCGAGTGGCTCGATCTGGTAATTGGCAGTAGATCGAGACTTTTCTCTGTGGTTAATAATGTTGATAGGGAATCAGCAACAAAATCATAAGCCTCCTTTTACAACTGCATGGGTTACAACCCTGGTTACCAACCAGTTGCGGCTGGGATGGTTTGTCACTGCAGGGAAGCAATTTCAATCACTCAAATGACATCACTGTAAAGAACGATGAATATTGGGCAACGCAACCAAAGTCACCTTGGATATCATAAGATGTTATTCTAACGTATCTACATTCTACATAGATATGTTATGGATTGTTATGGGCCGTCATGGGGAAATAACCACGCATCATGATCATGTCATGACGATGTGGAGTGTCAACAATGCTTTGGCTGCCTAGTGATACAGGATATGCTTCAGAAATTTCAGAAATGGCAAGCACTGGCAACAGGGATATACGTGTGCAAGTGAATGTTTTGGCGTGAGTAGATGTGAGTAGCAATTAGTTACAGTGTGAATGCCAAACATTTTTACTACAATCATGGGTTTTCACCCCTGCGCACCGCAAGATAGTCAAGAGTCAAGTTGAATGCTGGTATCCTTTGGTAATCAAATATGGAATTGACAATCCTCATTTGCAGATGATTTTTGCACTAAAACCTCCATGTATATGGGATTTTCCAGTCATGTTTGACGAAACTGGATTGTAGTCATTGTGTGCATTTTGAACATATCTCAAAGTGCAGGGCAACTGTACTGCTCATCGGCTCATCCTCTTGATTTTTGAACCTGATTCTGCCACGTTTGCAGGTGACTCACCCTAAATTCCCTAAATCTAACGATTTACTGCAGAATCCTGCATTCTTCAATGTATTCATGGAGGTTTCGGATAGCCTTTTCTGTCCGTTTGGGCATCCACCAGCCTGTCTGACAAATCATGGCTTCGCAGGCCAAGGAAGCTCGCAACAAAGCTCTTCTCAACGGTGATGTTCAGGTGGTGACCCTGGGTTTCTTCCGGCCCCAGCGATGAAAAACCTACCTGGGGATGAGTGAACACCTCGAAATCATCGTGCAGTATCACTTTTTTTTTTTGGATGAACAGATTAAAATTTATGAATGTCTGCAATTTTGATGTTCAGGCTACAGTTTCTTTCTTTAATGCATAGCCACCTGATTTGTTCGAGATGAATGATGACACATTAAGAACTGAACATCTTGAATTTAACGCTGCAGAAACAAAAAATGTTAGAGGTTTTGAACACTGCCAGCAGTGAGCAGTGTTGAACCTCATTGAACCTCCATTTTTATTGTCGTTTATTGGAGGAGTATATTCTCATTCATAGGGGGATTTTCTCAGGAAATGTATGATGGAAACTTAAAACGCTGGTAACTATCCAGCATGTGGATGATGTATGATGATGTATACCATCGTTTTAACACTGCTCAAGCATCCATACTAGATGGGTCAAAACGTGTAAAACACATACACACACCATTTTGGGCTACTGGAAGGGTCTAGGTATTTTGTCTTTCCATTTTATTCTCATGGGTAGTATATAACTTTATAATATAACTGTAAGTGTCAGATAGTGTCCGGGTACTATTGAACGATCAAAGCTAGTCGCTCTGGAGGACCGACCCATTTATAACATGTTATAACCTCACTAAACCGGGAGATTCGACAAATTTTCCCGGTTCCCAAATGGTACAGCCTCTGCACTAAGCATAGCGTGTTTCTTGTGGTGCCACCCAGGTCCTTGATCGAAGAATCTCAGATTCGAACAGAGGAACTATGGTAGGTTGAGCAGGTCAAGGTCGGAAAACTTATAATTTTAGTTGTTTTCTTGTTCATTCTTTTTAGATCCATTCCTTTGTGATGAAGGCCCTGTTGAGATGATACAGTTTGAGCCATCATCAATGTTCTTGGAAATGGTCCATCAAAGTAAGGCATCCACAAGTAACTAAGATGTCCGATGTCCAGAAATTCCCAGGTTGCATTGTTTAGCACGTTTGTTGGAAGATACCCATGTGTGGCTAAATTGATCATGCCTGTGGTCATAAACAATATTTGATGGTTACAGTATATGTGCTAGGTTTGCCATATTTGTTGGTGAGAGTTGCCATTTCTGATGGTCATATCCTTACCTCCCCCAAGTCAGGTCCAACCATTGGGTTTCGGGGAATTTGCACAAAGCCCCAATCAGTCTTTGATGGTTAAAGTACAACGGGCTACCTGCCCCCTTGAAACAATCCATTCAATGCCATATTGGCTTGTGATTTCCTCATTTTGTTGTTGACATGTGAATTTGTTTGCGTGAAATTTAATTATCATGTGTGTCGGTGCCATCCCCCTTTGTTTGCGGGAAACCCTTATTTCTTGTTGATGGTTTTCCAATTTTTGTTGCGAAAATCCTGCTTCTGACGGTAAACTCGTGACAAGGTGCGACCTGACCTAACCCCTTTTCGGCCAGCCCGATTGAGGCTGCCAGCGGCACTGAAGATGCTAATGCGAAGCCCAAGCCTGTGCCAGAAGGCTGGATGGTACAGGTACAGTAGCTGGTTTTGGGTTGGCCTCAACAGAAGGGCCCACTAAGTTGCCATGTTCCTGGAAGGAAACTGATGAAGGGGGGAAGTCCATATTTTGAACCCCGATTCAGTGTTGTGAGAAGGGCTGAAGCCACTGAGCGCGGGGCTGATGGGGTTTCACTGTTTCACTGGGTAATCACCCAAGACCCAAGCATTGTTAGGCACCATTTTTTCGGGGAAGAACTGCGAATGTTCCAGCTCCCAAAAGGATGATTGTTCCCATTTTTACATTTTTGGGAAGGCTTGAAACAACCATCAAGGCAAACCCCAGGGGGACCATCTGGTGCTTGGTTGATCATCCCGCTTCATCCCACAACTCGTACACTTGTTAAACATAACCCTCAGGGATATTCCCTGTACATGATAGGTATATCATGGTATATGATGTACTATCATCTAACCCTCTGGCAATTCAACATAGGATCTTTATAGGAAATGAGCCATGTAGGTAAATAATTTACCGCTTATATATATATATAAATATGGTGAAAATTCCTTTAGCAAACTGTTTGTCATTACCACTGGGCAATTACATCCAATCATACCTCCAGTGATCCAGCCGTGAAGCTGCCGTGAAGCCGTGAAGCTGCCAGGCTTATGGCAAGTGGTCACCTGGGGAAACAAAGAACCCGTCAAGGCACGTCAGGTGCCAGCGAGGGTGGCCGTGGCGTGGCTGCGTAGCTGTAAAGAATGGATAGAAGCTGGAAACAGAGAGTGAAGGAAACTGCTACTTCTCGTGTCTGACAATATATTTTATAATTCTAAATTACTTTTCTATTTTTATGCAGTTGCCTATCAATACAAGACAACAAAGCATCGAGTGACTACTTATATAATCTTATATATATATATTATATATACCATACCCACACCTGGAGATATGTCTGAAGGAGGGTAATTGGGATGTGGGGACCCCAATGCAACCCTTTCATAAATTGAGCATAATTGAGCCAGTGCCCCAAATTGACACCATTTGGTCACAACACCCATATTGAATTGTTGTTTCTGATTCTACCATACAAGTAGTTCCAAGAACACAGATTCATTCACCGTTCACAGTCCCTTTAAAGTTCAACATGTCTTGGTGATTCCGTTTTTTTCGTAAAAATGCCAGACTTTGGATGTTACCTCAAGGAAGACATGATCAACCAGTTGGCTTTGCCAAGAGCAATGTCAATGCGACTTTACGAGCGCAACTTCTTTCACGATCTCGAATCTCGAATGATGCAATGTATTTCCTGCAATGTGGTAAGCCCAACAACAAACCATCACCATACATGAGTTGTATAAACTTCAGCTCTAAATGGTGGCTTTATGGCAGTTTATGGCATTTGGCTTTATACCACACTAGTCCACTGAGTCCACATTAGTGTCAGATAGTGCCCAGGCAGCAGCCAGTGCCATGCAGTTTGACATTTTGCTGATCCTGACAAAGCCAGTGGTGGTCCCAGTCCTCGCTGCGCTCTAACTCCTTGGACACGCTGCACTAGTCCCCATGATTTCACGGGGTTTGAACAGCATGTTGGGGTGAGAGGTGAGAGGTGTCCTAAAATGGAGGTATATCATATATCCCTAAATCATCCATTTACAGGTGGGATTTTCCATGATAAACCATCCATTTTGCATCATTTTGGCCATTTTGGGGATCCCCCATTTATGGACCCCCCCAGGTGTTTAAGATATTTTAAGATCAGGTTCCAGGTCGAGGTATTCTAAAGACCTCCTTTTCTGGTCTTTTTTGAGCGGCGTAGCCTTGGAGGTGTACTTGGTTCTTTATCACAGGAATCGCAGGTAGTTCTTTTTTCATCCCAATGATCACCGGAAAAACTGGCATACTTGGGACCCACTTACTAACTGGGATGAACCATCAAGGACTGGTTTAAAAGTATACCGTATTGTTTTGCAGCGATGAGATACAGTCAGTTTGTTGTCGGCGCACACAGTATGCATACCCACTAAGTAGTCAGCGGGGAACATGTTTACCCGTTGGATATCGCCATAGTATCTTCACCCTCAAGGCAAGCACAAAAAGGGGGTAAGTTGATCGTAGCACCACTGTTAATTTCTGTGGTACTTTGAGGGTCTAGGTGTGTATGTGTGTGTGTGTGGGTTTTCAAGTGTGTGAATCAGTTGGTATCCCCCCTTTAGTGGCCATCGTCGGATGGTTTGAGCATGTTCGAGGTGATTCCGCTCATCATGCTTGTAGCCTTGGGGCAGGCCAGCGTGAGGTAACTATAGCCCAAGGATCTCACCATAAATGATAGCCCCGCACAATGGCGAGCTATTGTGGGGATGCGTATTACGGTTGGGAACGGTTGGGAACGGTTGGGAACGGTTGGGAACTCTTATGGATTCTTATTATCACTGATCCAAGTATGGTGTGATGGCAGAGATGGAATGTTTGGCCATGGAAAGCCACAAAATGTTCAAAACCATGGGACACTTCCTGGCATGGTCCTTTCTGAGCCAGGTCACCAGAATGGCTTGGTTCAAAGGGGCACAGTGGGCATGGTCCTATGTTTTATTTCTAGCAAACCATGGCAGCAATGGGCTATGAACTGCACAAGCCTGCAGCTGTGTGAAGACTGTGGCATAGTTCCTGTGAATCGCATCAAACAAACATAAACAAACTTAATACCAGACAGTGGATTTATGCCAGAGCCGACATCCATCAATGCATGCTGCAGGTGTGGAATGGCTTGTTCTCTTCCCTCTTCATTGGCCATGCACTTCGCAAATGGGTTCCACAGATGAGCTATGAGGCAAGTTCTTTCTTTTTACGACAGCAAACACGTACAACACATACAAAGTGGGGCCCCCGTTTGATTACGATAGCTAAGTTGGTGGAGAAAACACCGATACAATTATGGTTTATGAATGTTTATGATACTTATAATATACCCGTTGAATTTTTTGTTACTAAATCTGAGGCCTCAGGGCCGTTACAGAATGGTTCTTGGCTACCATTTTGTGCAAAATTTTGACCCTGGGTTCTGCCATCTTGTAAGTGGACCCCCCCCCCGTACCGGAATTTTGCATTGGAAGTGCGAGTTTGTTACCCTCCAGTCCCGACCATTCTGTCGGAGTCTGGAGGGCTAATCAATAACCACTACAAATTGGATGGATTCAAAGCGTAAATGGATAATACTCAACTATAGCCCCTACAAACTGGAGGGAATTAAAAAATCACAGAATAATTTTCATAGCCTAGGAGATCTCAAATAAGAGTGTATATTGAATGCATCAAGTTCCAATGCAGTCTGATAAGTGCACTTTATTGATGCCAACGTGAACAAATTTAACATCAGTCGCGACTCGGGTTGGCCGGGCTGTTGCAGGTTACTTCCCAGGGATCCTAGGATAGTGCGAGTATAGCCACCCCCAGCCCCCACCATTCTGTAAAGGGCAAATCGAGCCAACGGATGCGAGCGGATGCGAGTCGAGCAAAATCGGTGACTCATTTTGTAACTAGGGGTCAGATAATATATATATATACATATCGGTATTTATATTTTTTGATTATGACATCCAACATTGTATTTAATGTTTAGCTTGGCCACTCAGACAGCGTCACGCCAAAACAGACGGATGAACGCAAAAGAACGGAAAAAATGAACCGCGACTCGGGTTGGCCGGGCTGTTGCAGGTTACTTCCCAGGGATCCTAGGATAGTGCGAGTATAGCCACCCCCAGTCCCCACCATTTTGTAAAGGGCAAATCGAGCCAACGGATGCGAGCGGATGCGAGTCGAGCAAAATCGGTGACTCATTTTGTAACTAGGGGTCAGATAATATATATATATATACATATCGATTTTTTTTATTTTTTTTGATTATGACATCCAACATTGTATTTAATGTTTAGCTTGGCCACTCAGACAGCGTCACGCCAAAACAGACGGATGAACGCAAAAGAACGGAAAAACTGAACCGCGACTCGGGTTGGCCGGGCTGTTGCAGGTTACTTCCCAGGGATCCTAGGATAGTGCGAGTATAGCCACCCCCAGTCCCCACCATTCTGTAAAGGGCAAATCGAGCCAGCGGATGCGAGTCGAGCAAAATCGGTGACTCATTTTGTAACTAGGGGTCAGCTTTGACTGCCATTTTGTAACAAAAACCTTCCTCGGTGAACGCTGGGTTCTGCCAACTTGTAAGAAGGGCACCTTGGGGACGCCGTTCTGTAGCTACAAAATGGGGCTCCCAACCCCTCGGGCCCAATCTGAACATCTTAATTATAACTTATAACTAAACTATACTAAACTATTCATGAACTTATAAACCAAGAAACATATAGAAACATCACTGTGGGGGCTCACATTGTGTTTCGCAAGGCGCACCACTTGCTCTGCGCGCTCTTCGGCACCTTGCACACCTTGCTGGGTGTCTCGGCCTCGAAATTGGAGGACTCGGTGCAGATTTCGGAAGCTGAGGCGTCGGGACATTGGTTTGGACCTCGTGTTTATGATGTTGTATACTGATTTTAAAGGGTTTGGTTTATATAGTTGTTTTTTTTACCAGTTTACTTCTACATGTTTTATATTTAGAGGGTTTGGAATGGTTTGGACTCATTGAAGTCTTGGGATGGCAATATGTTAACCGTCCTCAAAAGTGCATCCTATAATTTCCGGAAAATCCAAACGGGGCTCCATTTTGGTAGAGTGACGCTGTCAGCAGTTTCTGTAAATTGTGATAGCTAAATATGATCGCTATATTCGTTGAACATGAAGGTGACTAAAGATAACCTACATGAACTGCAACGTTCTCACTTTGTTTTGGTTCCTTAAGATGTTCTAAGTTTGGACTCTCAGTTTGCAAGTTTGCCGTCCATGGCTTTGTCTGAGAATATGGCTCGCTGTAGCTCCGAATCCATTGGTGGATCAGCATGTCCCAAATACATTATAACCCATGACGGATCCATGGTGCTGCTATATATGGTGTGCCATGGATCCCATCAATATACCCCCTTTATGTTAGCATTAATATACCAGCACCATGGATCCGTCAGGGGTAATACATCCAACATATCGCCATGTTGGGTGAAGAAACTCACCGCAGCTGTCAGTCCAGCAGGACTATGCCAACCGCGAAGGCAGCAAGATCCTGCACTTGGCCTGGGCCTGGTCCTTCAAGGAGCGGACGGGCGGCGAAGCTGAGAGATTGGTTTCAAAGATCTTCGTAGTATACATAATAATAATATAGACATAATCTGGTTGGTGGTGACTGGAATGGAATTTTATGACTTTCCATATATTGGGAATATATTTTCCCAGCTAACGAAGTCATATTTTTCAGAGGGGTTGGTATACCACCAACCAGATAATAGATACATAAGAGCTATAAGATATACATATCTACAAAAGACGTGGAACTAATAATAACGCATATTTCTTGGCAAACCATCCTTCTGTATATATCAATCAATAATACAATATGAGCGGTCTCAACTGTTTTTTTTTTTTTTTTCCTGGGACTATGTTTTGGGGATTGAAGCCACCAGTAAGTTGGTTCATATCCACAGGTATCAATCCCATGTTGATGGTTGACGGTCACATCATGAGAAAACACCTGAAATGGAGGTTTCCGAAGTCATGGGGTACCCCTAGTTATCCATTTACAGATGGGACATTTCCATTATAAACCAACCATTTGGGGTTAGGAAACCTCCATATCGCTGCGAGTTTGGCATTGACGAGGCACCAACCATGCGCCGCAGGATGTGCTCTCGGTGATGCACATGTGCCAGCTGGGGGCAGCCGTGCGCCTCTGAGAATCGAAAAGACTCTGGTGGACCCGCAGTTTTGATGTGTTTTCGTTTTTGCATAATGGTTATGATGATTAATGATGGTTAATAATGGTTAATAATGGTTAAAAATGGTTAATAATGGTTAATAATGTTTAATAATGGTTATATAATAGTGGTCAATGATGGTTATAATAATGTTTAAGAATGGTTAAGAATGGTTAATAATGGTTAATAATGGTTAATAATTGTAAATAATGGTTAAACATGTTTAATAATGGTTAATAATGGTTAATAATGATTAATCATGGTTAATAAGGGTTAATAATGGTTAAGAATAGTGAATAGTTATATAATGGTTGTGTTTCCTTTCTCCCCACCTGTCAGGTGAGGGTTGATATATACTTCCAGATGAGATATCAGAAACTATGGCAAAATACTTTCACGGTGGGGATCGCTCGAAGTAAAGTATTTTGTTTATGATTTTTATGTGATGGGTTTGTAAAATCTTCCTGGAGCACAGAACATCCACCGATGTTCCCATGATGATATGAAACCAAATATATCATACTTTACTAAATGCTTCTGTATACTCCCAGATGGCATCCTAGCTGGGCAGAGGATCTCAAGACCATGTGTGAGCTGTGGCTACGTTCGACACCCCTGGTTGATGATAGGGGGTTATACTTGTACTGCCCAATATGTTTGGGATTATCATAGCCCATTGCTTTAAATCATTGTGCGTTGCGCTTTGTTCAGGGCTTGCTGCACCATGTTCCAGTATGTTTCAGTCGATTCTGATTTGTCACTCACCTGACGTATCCAAAAAAGGGTTCTCCCACCGCAAAGAATCCTAGGATGTTTTTGCATAGCGCAGAGTGATGAAACGACTTGATCAGAATAGTGCTCATATCATTGACACATTTTTTTTAAATGATTTTTAAAGCGCCACCCTCACTATGCAATCTTACTTAATGTTGAGGATTGTCCCTCTACCAGCCGGATGTGGGTTGTAACCGTTGCAACCTAGTTAACCGCAGTCAAATGCTGCATCTAGGTTTTATCCCAAGTGCAGTAACCAGTTGCAGCCAAGTATATAACCACGGAATCATAACCAGATTTCAGAAGCTTGAACCAGGTTTGGCCAAGGTTTGACCATGGAGATTTCCTAAAATCGAGGTATACCCGGTAAAAATCATCTATTTCATCTATAGGATTTTCATCATCATAGGATTTTCCAACATTTTCCATTCCCATAGGATCCATCATGCTGGAATATGAATCCCAACATTTACCCCATTTATGGAACCCAGTTTTGTAGGTAAATATACCAGCACCATGGATCCTATGGGATCGCGCCCTGCAGGTCACCGCCATGTCTGCGCTTGGAAATGAGCCGTTTCCTGGCGCCCATAAAGGCGTTGTACAAAATGGGGTTACCATCAAGGGGAACATCAAACACTAAGAAGAATAGGTATGGTACACCCATGTACACCCAACAAAAGCGAAGAATATTGTGGATTTCTAACAATTTCAGAAACCATCCCCCTTTTTTTAACCATATAGATAGGTGTATAAACCATTCCCAAATGGGTGGTTTATTGTTGTCTTACCAACATTAGTGAGGATATAAGTCCAGGATATTTATTTCTATCCGAACTTGTTTTGTAAGCTTACACTTACGATATCTTACGATACTGGTTCAATGGGGAGTTCTGTTCTATTTGCTAAATCGATTGAATGCATACGGGAATCAGTAACCAAAATGATCCAAAATGTGTGATTCCATGGATTTGTATGACTTTTGACCCATATCATCTAGAGAAAACGCGTCTACCAGTTGGTGGTACCCGGTACCCAGTCGGCATACTTCCAAATGATGTTCATATATTTCATCTCAAACGGATATGTTTGATACGTTTTAGTTCAAAGTAAGCTTTTGTTGTTTGGAAATGGAGTATGTCAATCTACCACTTGAGTTTCGGAGGGCTGGCTCAGCCACCAGCTAGATGTTGTTGGCATGTTGGTTAAGCACGGCTTATATATATATATATGTATAATTATATATGTATGCACCATTCTGTTGGTTACGATTGACTGTTACCTACGTGTTTTTCCAAGATTGTTGTTTGTTGAAACACTCGTTGGCTAATACTCTCACGTGTGGGTCGTGGATTCTCTAAAGTCACTTTATCTGCTGGAACCCCAAATGACTTCTGTTTTGATGCTACAGCGTCCATTTTCTGACTCCAATCCTCATAAAAAAAAAAAAAACGGTCATGGCATGGCAGATATGTAAAACTTGAAGGCTCAGCCGGCTCAGCCCACAAGAACAGGTACACATAGGAAAAACTCAGGAAAAATCAGTTTCAAGATCAACTGCCTTTGTTTGGAAGCTATGGGTGCCCCAAAAATATGGTGGTTTCCATTGAAATGTTGTGCTTTCCGAGGTCCTACGCGGCGTCCTTCGCGTCAGGCATCGCGTTGCGCATTGCCGTGGGCCAGGCGCGAGATAGGAGGAGTGCCAGTTGGGATTAAGTGTGGTAAGCACAAAACCATTTGGGCATGGTCTAGAGTCTACACAACCCATAAAAATTGTCATTTTAAGGGGTTCAGTTTCAGTATTGGATAATTTTGCATTAAATGAATTAATCAACATGTCAAAACTGTGTCTGTTTGTTTACCGTATAGCCCCTATTTGGGATGATTTTAAATAGCCCCAACATGGTGAATGAGGATGGTTTATGATTGGGTTTACCATATTTAAAGATATTGCCATGGGATTTTAAACACCAAACGCTGGGATATGGGGCCCCTATAACGATGGTTGTCTATTTAAAACTGGAACTGCACCCCCAAGTCTGGAATAATGGTTGGTAATCAAGAATTAACCCCAAAGTGCCCTTTTCAGAACTTAAACGACCTTTGATCTGGATAGTTACTCCCCCTTCAAAGAGATGGCATATTATGGGGGGGTTCTTAAAATAGTGTATCCCCAAGTCACCATAGGTTTCAGTACTAAGTCATGGTCATCACCGGCCGCCGCCATCGCCCTTTCGCGTCAGGATGCCTTTCGCGGTCTTGGCTTTGTCCATGCCCTGGCAGATTACTTTCAGGCAGTTCAATGGATGCAGTCCTTGAGCAGAATTTCTGGCTGCATGCGTTTACCCTCTGGTAAACTAACATAGCTATGGAAAATCACCATGTTTGATGGGAAAACTCACTATAAATGGCAATTTTCAATAGCTATGTTAGTTTACCAGAGGGTAGAGGGTGTAAAAGCACATGTTGTTGGATCAATGTATATACTGGTTTGACGGCTAAAAGATGCTAAAAGCACATGTGTTGAGGGTATAACAGTGGAATATGTGAGGATGTGATACCCCTCGGAATTTCCTCTAAATTATGGATCTTTATGGTTGGGGTTAACCCCCCAGAACAGCTACCAACATGATAGTGGCATTTTTGTTTGGCTATTTTGAAGGGGTTGGGTCCAACCATTTTAGAATGTGAGCATGTCTTCTTCCGGACAGATATATGTACATATAGACAAGAGTCATCAAGAGTCATATCTTGACTCATGTTTGTTTTTATTGAAGCCTCGCGCGAATTTATAAATCGACATGTTGTAAATGCTATCTAATCAAGATATGTTCTTTTGCATGTCACGCAAAGCAGTTTGATTCTACATGCGGAATTGATTGGCTGATTACATTGCTTGTTTTCATATTTCATGGTTGATACCCCACTAGTTGCAAAGACGCAACCAACCTCACTTCAGACATATAGTGGCAAACAAAGACTCACCCACATTTTTTGGCAATTGCGGTGTCAGCCCATTCAGAATTGGTTTGAACAGAAACTGCATGGCACCCTGGCATTTTGATGGGGAGATCTCGTTTTCTTCATTAGCTTCCCACAATGAACCCAGTGACTAAAGACTGTCACTTGCTATAACTTGCTGCTGGTTCGAGATTTAATCTACGTTTCATTTCAAATGTTCTTTCCCCTGATCATGAGATGAAAATTGGCCATACATGAAATACATTTTGAATGAAATATATTGAAATATTAATTTAACCTCCATGTCTGATTGTCATTTTTATAGCTAAGTCCCTATTCATGGTGTTGTCCCAACACAAAATCCCTATGAAATCCCACAGATATCCCCATCGCTGCAGGGCACTCTGAAGGACTTGGGCATCTCCCTGGATGCCGCAGATGAGGTGCGATTGATCGAACCACATGCATTTACAATATATAACTATATATATATATATATGGCTAATTATATATGTGTATGTATATGTATACATTTACATGTATTATACATACATACATGCATGCATGCATGCATGCAGACAGACAGACAGGCAGGCAGACAGACAGACAGGCAGGCAGGCAGACAGACAGACATACATACATACACACATATTCATATTTACAATCACACATGTTTATACACACATACACGTTTAATTCATGGTTTCCTAAGACAACCGCACCAGAGCCAGAAAGTCGTCCAAATCTTGTCAAGCTTAAAGGGGAAACCAATGGTTCTGGGGTACTCCCAACTGTTAGGGCACCCCAAATCGGAAACTCGGGGAGCGAATCCACCCGAACATGACGTTTGGCCAGCAAAATGGCGTTGAGTGAGATTTCTGAACTATCCCATACGATCCATGGTGCTGGTATATATGCTAACATTGGGGGTATATTGATGGTAAATGTTACCATATATGGCATACATGGATCCTATGGGTATGGAAAAACAAAACAAAAACAGAACGACAAAGAGATCTGCAACACCGGTATGTTGTTAATGATGTTAACGGGAAAAGGCCTAGACAATACAACACCAGATGCTTTGCCATAGCGTTTTAGATAGCCTTGAGAAGTTGCCCACAGGTTGAGAAGTTGGTCGAATCTTGAATTTGGCTGTCTCTACATCCTCATGGACAAAGCAGCATCTATTGACATGCAGGACAACTGTGAGTTGATGTGTGTAGCTATGAATCATACTCTTGGTGTCTTTGGGAAGCTGCAACAGGGGGGAATATGCTCCAGCAATTTTTCGGCATTTTAAATGCATCACTGTCGACACATCCCAGACTTTTTGTCGCTTACTTATCACTTCCCATCCGACCGATGATGGGAGTCGGGACATCAAGAAACCACCGCGCCAGGTGGTGGCTTACAGTGGGGGTGGTATCGGTGACTGTGGAGGCCGGAGATGGCTTGCACTGGAGCTCATGAAAACGGGCAGTGAATAACGTTAAGTAACTGAAATATGTTTTTTTTTGGGGGGGGTTAGCCTAGTTAGCTTCTGAAGTCTTTGGGTCCATAGTGATGTTATGAGTACTGTTTTCAATGGATTGGTTTAGGGGAACATTTACAGGAAAACCCCACATTTAATGGTAAAAACCATGGTTTCCTGTAAATTTTCCCTTAAACCAATCCATTGAGTTTTTCATCACATACCGGGCTACATGGTGGACCCTGAATCCGGCAGGTGGACCCTTCAGGATGTTGTTCGGAGATGAGACGTGCCCCAGGGCCATGGCTTAACGAAGCCTGGGAAGGTGAGTCTAAAATGCAGCAAATATCAAGCCACCCTGGAACACAACGGCAAGGGATATTGGAGGGAAAATGATGCACATAAGATCATATATATATATATTATACACACATAGTCGTGTCGTGCAATGTTTGGAATATGATACACCCCGCACAAGGACTAGCTACCTCTGTTTGCCATCATCAACATCAATGATTGATCCAGTCCGAGAGATTCTGAGAATGTTTGTTTGGCTTATAGCCAAATGCTTGGGGTTGCCCTTGAAGACTCCTGACGTGCTGATATGATTAGATTAGTACAATACAATACACATGTACAATACCATCAACGACTTTTTTGTGCATTTTCCAACTCAAACAGCTATTCACAGCCAGGAATCGATGCTAACAACACGTCCCATGCAAGCATGCTTTACACGGAACATTGTTGTATCTTGTTGTATCTACATAACGCTGAAGATGCGGGATTCTAGATTGCACAGGCGTGTATGTATATACAGTAGATACATACATTTTTTAAGCCCGGAACCTCAAAAAGTACCTACATCATTTGTATCATACATGGACATTGTTTCTGTCCACTTTCTATGGATTTCATGAGGACATACTTTTCCTGGACTTCCATGTATAATTATACCAATATGCATATTTGAAAATAATTATGCACTATTTAGATAAACATGTAGACATGTACTACACACACATATTACATACTGTATACCTCAGTGCAGTCCCATGTGTAAGAAAGCCGCGCACACGGTATTTCTTGTGCAGTTGAGGTACGCAACAATTGCTGCTACAGTGTTGAAGGCAGGACCCCATTCGTGGGTTCTCCATGGTTCTCCCATCTATAAATTATGATTATAACTATATGGTTATGCTATAAATGGCTTTTAACATATTATAATATATTATAACATAAGGTTATGAACCACTGACAATCCGTGGGATGATCCTCCAACTAAATCATCGGTTCATAGGAAGTACAGCGACCATGAGAAGCATAAAAACAAGATCGGAACCATGTCGGCGAGTGTTTGGACATTTTTAGGTTCAAATTGGTGTGTCAAAAAAACCTGTTTACCATCTATAATTACCCCACATGGCTCAAATGACTCAGTGATGTACTTCTTAAATGTGCTTTGAATCATGTTGACATCATCTTGACAATCCAGAAATTGGGCCATTGGGGTACTCCCTTGTCCTCGCTCCAAAGCAATAGCTCTGCCAGGCTTGGCTGTTGTTGCTACCTGTGCTGTCCACAGCGCAATGGTTTCAACGGACCTGCCAAGCCGGCCGCCTGCTGGGGTGCGCCCAGCGGGGAGTTGGGATTTTCCTGAGGCTAACTTAAAGGGTTATGAAGGGCATATCACAGTATAACCATGGTTTAACCACGAAGAAGTGCCGATGAAGGCTTCTGAAGGTAACACATTCTACGTATTTTGGAGGGGAGTCATCTTTGGGAGTTGGAAATCCACGCGGTGTTGGGTTGGTGGTTTTAATATGTTTAAATGGTGTTGTTTTTTGTTTCAAACCTACCTGGCATGATGATCCCAATTAACTACATTTTTTCCAGCGAGATTGAAACAACTCACCAGGCATCCCCGATTGTATCAATCAAAGAAGTTTGTGGAAATTCCAACTGGTCAGTTTGTGGATGATTCCTTTTTCATTGGGACAGCCTGATACGTCGCAAGGCCAAGGAATGGCGTTGCAGACTGGTTTGATGGGATTCCAAACCAAACTTGCTAACTTGTTTGAAGCAGTTGACAACTGTTCTGAAAAACCCATATCAACCAGTGAACCTCCAAAAAATGTTTTGCAACATATTTAATCTTCCTACATGGGACATGACATTAATTGAAATTGTTGTTTCATGTTCAATCTCAGTGTGTAAATCAATGAACCATTTGAATGTGTTTTGTGTGTGAAGCCATCAACTGCAGGAACTTTCAGATTCCCATCATTGTTCGCCTCTGGTAGGAAGCGATGGAAATTCACCCGCTTCGTTCAGAGACTGATTTTGTTTTTGTTAGGTCTTGCCGACATGTTGCAGGTGACAGGGTTGATCAGACTGCGGTTTCGACTGGGGTGGAAAATCCACTATTTCTATGCCATGTTCTATGTTGCAAACTGTTAGTTTACCAGGCCGGGTCGTTGGTGGTTTAGCCAAGGACACAAACATCTGAAGCCAAGGATCATCGCCACAACGGCCATCAAGCATCCGAAAGCATCCAACATATCCAACAAACCATCCGAATGTGGGGTCAAACTTGGGATTACCAATGGAACCACAAATTAACTGATGAAGAGTATTTAAGAATATTTAATAGTACTGTTAATAGCTGATAATAGCTGATTTAGCAATATTTAGCCATTCATTTTTGTGGTGTAGTATCATATTTGGAACCATCGCGAATGATCGTTTGTCGCTGATTGAGCAAAAACAAACCAGCTCCTCAATTCAATTCATGTCCGCGTGTCTGGTGGACAATCAGAATTGGTTGAACAATATGTTGGGAGATCAAATGGGCGTCTCCCCAAAGTTTTATGGTAGTAAATTATCAGGAGTATCTCCCGTAATATCTTATAGTGTTACAATATGTGTTGATTATAATAAATATATATATATATACACATTATGCATTTGTGGGCCTCGTCGGACGAACACAAATAAAACCAGTAGTGTTAATGTACGAGTATTATATCTCATTGATTATTATCCCATAATTTTATTAATACGTCATAGTGGTATCTATAGCTATCGCTCATAAATCTCCCATCACATCCCCGCACACATGATGGAATATGAATGGTGCTGTCACTGCATGATTATCATATCTTAGCTGCTGATTACCCCAGAAATTGTATCACTAATTCTGAAAAATATCCCATCTTTAGCTGATTAGTTTATCTTGGAGAAACAAACAACTATGAACTGTTCATAACTATTATACATATCATTAGACCATGTAGTGGTACTGTAACGACATTTAGGTATGTGGAGGGCGGGCCAGACTACAAGGCACTGGAGGTAGTATGAAACACCAGTTCCATCCATATATTTAAATGTATAGTTAAATGAATTGGACTCCGTATGTTTAAATGGCCGGGCGGGCCAAGGAAAACCTTCCGGGAGGTAGTCTAAAAATACCAGTTCATGTATTTCAAAGTCCTTTTGTATATTTTATAGTTCGATGTAGTTACCGTACCAATATCTTATTTTTGATAAAGATGGAGATCTAATATTCATACATATGTTATTTAGATGTTATTGATGAGGTTAAAAAGTCTACATATCTGCAGATTGTCAGATTGTGGTAGCGCCAGGTGTCCTGCAGATCTGCCTCTTCGCCAGCAGCGAGTTGAATGCCTCCAACGTGCGCAAATTTTCAAGAGAGATGGGATGCCATCGCCTGTCCATTGCCTCCCAGGTAGCCTCTGGTAATTTAACATATGTATGGATAATGACCATAAATAGATTTACCTATTAAAAGGGATGGTTTAGCTATGTTACTATGTTAAATTACCAGAGGGTACCTCTCCAGAAGTTACTCTCAAAAATACGGCTTACTGAGGGCAAAGTACCATCAACTTGTTTAACTTGTTTTTGGGGCGTGGAAAAACCATCTTGAACCTCTAACCTGGATGTGCATAAGAGGTAGTAAGTTGTTTGTAACCCGATCATTCGGTATATATTATGGTATATTCCTTACTTTATATATATATAGAACATATTGGTATAAACCATATAATATATTTAAGTGAACTGATACGGGTCATATTCTCTTTCGGGGAGCCTGCAGGGCGCACTCATCAACTATTGGTTGGCCATGCTCTTTGGCTGTGCCGGAGAGTCATTGATGAGCACGTCCGGGAGCCTTGACCATGGCCTGTCCAGAACTGGTACGTTGCTTCAAGTTCTTGTGTATGTGAGCAATGTTCAAAACCCTTGCTGGTTGATTATTGTAGGGATTATACTATATTATACTAACCAATTAATATCGGGGATTATCACAATCCAATATTAGAATCCCGTTCTTAACTAGCCAGTATAATGAAACGACAGAGGGTTTTGAACACTGTTCATGTCTCTATGTATCTATATTGGGGTTACCATAAATGGGGATACCACAATAGCTGGATGGTTTAATATATATATATATAATGGAAAAACATAAACAAAAATGGTTCAGGGGCACCACCATTTTAGGAAACCTCAAATGTGTATATATAATATATATAAACATACATTACATATGTATGTAATGTAATGTAATGTAATGTAATGTAATGCAATGCAATGCAATGCAATGCAATGCAATGCAATGCAATGTAATGTTATGTTATGTTATGTTATGTTATGTTATGTTATGTATGTATGTATGTATGTATGTATGTATGTATGTATGTATGTATGTATGTATGTATGTATGCATGCATGTATGTATGTATGTATGTATGTATGTTTGTGTATACATATGCATATATATACATACATATGTATACATTTGTATGTATATATATATATACATACATATGTATACATATATACATATATACATCTATACATACATATATATATATATATATATATGCATATATATATACACATATACTTATATGTACATACATATGTATATATATATAGGTGTTTGTGTGTGTCCCATGTCCACATCCATTGTTACTTCACTTCATTTTGCGGAATCATGAGGTATTTGTTTATGGGACTAAAATTGGCGACGCCGTGGCATTGAAATTTCACCATGGACTTGGCTATCTCTACAGTCAAACTTGGAGGCCGTTGTATCTTAGATTGTTTCTGTCATTCACTACACCCGTGCACAAAAAAAAATGAACAAACTGAGGTATGACATTCGCGGACCAGTGAGGCAAATAATATTCCTGCTGCTGTTTTTGTTCATGTGATGGGCCACGGAGAAACCTTCGAAAACTGTTTGTCGAATTCTGTGTTTCACAACGTGGCTTTAGGTCCTTTAGGTCCTGTAGGTCTGTTGGTGAAGGATGATCATTCACAGTGTGAGATATCCATCCTGGCCCAACTCTTGATAGTTGGTGGCAGCAAAGACCCGCTGGGCTCCTGCGGGACTCCCGGCGCGGGGCCGCGGGGACCCCGACTCCGCGGCTCGTGGAAAAGGGCTCAGAGATCTGGAGAGCACTCCCATTATCTCATATTATCTCCCATTGTTCCTAAATATGTGTGGTTCCGGCACCAAATATGTGTGGTTTCTGGGGCGTGCTTCATGTTAGGGGAAAGGGATTAATTATACTTCACAACACTTCGACAGATTTATAGATTCTTGCATCGAGTCACTGTTTGTTCCACCATTCACCGCTGAGATGAAGAGCAGAAACCAAATCCAGCTTTCGCATGCTCTAGGCTTTGAAAGCAAGAAAATATGGATTTGTCTACTACTTTAATGCCTTTTTTGGGTGACCAGTAGAGATAGGCACTGGGAAGTGGCACGGTTTTCACACGTGGTGCCCTGCATGATCATGGGGTGAAATCATATTCTTTGCTGAGGTGTGCAGGTGTGCATGATAACCGCTAGTCAGAAGGAGGAATGATGAATGTCTCAAAAATGGCTGCCGCAGACGACAGTTTGACAACCAATGAAACTGTAGACTCTGTCGGCAGCAAGCAGCAACAAGAAAGACACGCATATAATATATAATTAGAAGCAATAAGAGATCTTTTTTCCCCCATCACTCTTTTATAAAATGAAATGCAAATTTGCACCGAAGCATAATTATCCTTGGTAGGCTGTGCTTGGTCCATGAGTGACGTTTCCACCTAAAATGCAGGACTACATATACTTGCTAGATCTAGCCCACAACAGGATCAAAAAAACGTTCACAAGAAAGTGGGTGACACGTCTGCACGCAGCCTCTCCAGCCAGATGGTCATCGTTTCAACCCGCCGCGATGCCGATCAGCTTCAACTTTGGTCCTGAAAATGACCCAGAGCTCCTGGCACAGAGACCGAAGACACCGGTCACTCTGCTGGCAGGATTTTTGGGGGCTGGGATCCTTGGAACGCAACCAGCCTGGCTTGAAGCGCTATGAAGTGCCGAGCCTAGCGCCTTTATTTTTGATCATATAGCTAGGCAGTGTAGGATATTCATTAGATTATGATAGATGATTTGAGTCTGAAATTATATGAATGTAATGACACGAATTGGGTTCCGTAGTTCGTTTTCTCCAAAGAATCTCGTACGTCGTATGGCAATGCTTTGGACTTGAACTACTAACACGGGTGCCAGAGGGAAGCTATGGCAGCAGGTTTTCCTCTAGTGGACTCCAGCGGTCAAAGTTGTGTGGTTTGCTCCTATACTTGGGCCTTGCGAGGCCCTGTTAGAGATTTGTCCATGATAAAACAAACGAAATATGTTCAGTGTGGGTTTGTCTGGATTTTAGGGAAAAAAACCCGAATCAGCCATCCTATTTTTTCATCACTTTCCATCAACATGACCATTTGGGGGGTATTGTGATGTTGTGAGCAAACCTTTTCAGCCAAGGAAGACAACGCTACTGACACACTTGTTGGACAACAAGCACGGCCTCCGCATAGGAGTTGACACTCAGCAGGATGTGGAGACGTTTTGGGAAAGGTTTTTGTCTATGTTCGAAGTGGATAGTGCAGCAGATTCAGCAGATGGCTGCAACAACAGCCTAGCGATACCCATTGAGTCCCATGGCGGAACATGACTCCACCTCATCCACCTCAAATCTGACGCTTCTGCTGGCCATGTTCCCTTTCTGAAAGTAGGTAGTGATGAAAAAAATGGAACGATGGTAATGCCCAAACACATACAGTACCAAGTCAATTTCGTTGGAATATCCATCGTTGTTGGTTGTGTTAACATCTTGCGGTTGTTTAACGCCTTCACTTTAATGTGTATGTAGGCATGTGATGACGTGTGATGACGTCTGTATGTGTATTGAATCGAGAGATTATGATACCCAATTTGTTCTGTTTTTGTTTGCATTCTAGATATTTGATTGTTTCGAACTGTTCCAATATAACTTGTGTATGTATATATATATATATATGTATGTATATATATATACATATACATATATGTATATTATATATATATACGTGTGTATATATATATATACGTGTGTATATATATATATATATACGTGTGTATATATATATATATATATACATGAACAATTAGTGATATAAATGCTATATAATTCACTGTAATCACAAGTAAATTACAAGTAAATATACTGTAAGATTTCATTTTCCCATTTGTTTGGGGAACAGGTGGTGAACGACCTGGCCTCAGTGAACATCGATTCACAGCTGCTGCGCTATGACCATGGCCAGCATGGCCAGGTGGAGGTGGCGGAGCTTCAGAATGGCCCCTTTCGGTGAAAGAAGTTGGAGATGTTTGGAGAGGATGTCACCTGACATAGGTACAGAATGTTACCGAGAGATTGGATGTTAGATGGATAGATTGATGGATAGATACTGTAGTACACATTGAAAATCCATCAATCTATCCATCAATCTACCCATAGGGAATTACCATATTGATTGATTTGAACCCATGGTAGATATTGGATAGTATGGACATTTTCCATTGATCAATATTGAAAACATGTCAGTGCAAACACAGACATATAGCTATGGACAGTGGAATCCCTCCTCAACACCTCCTCAAGTCCATGCTGGAGCGCGGTCATTGGCAGGCAATGCTCGCTGCTTATTGGACTTACCCGGTAAGGTAAATCCAGATAGCTATGGCAAATGGCCTGTTCATGTATATATATATATATTATTTACAGTATATATATATATGATTTACCTATTGAGTGGTGATTTTCCATAGCAAGCTGTTGAATTGCAGGTATCTGTCAAGGTGTCCAGTCCGGGATGATGACTCATCTTTTCAAGGAAGTCAAACAACCGACCAGCTAGAGCAGCCGAGGCTGTGTTTGCTGTTCCTCTGCGGAGGATCTCTTTTCCGCGGTCCAGACCCTTGTGATGCGATCAAAGGAGTCCTGCCAAAAGTGCTAGCCACGCTGTTTACTTGGAGTTTTGTTTGGACCAGAAAGTAGAAGTTTCTGCAAGGTTTTGGTCTTCACTCTCCCAGAGTTGACTCTTTTTGGTAGTTTTCTCTGGGGATTGAATTTCCACATGTTCGCAGTTTACCAATGTGTTTTCTGTTCGATGTTTTGCGACAAAGAGACGCCATCTATCACCTTGGTGACTATGACTGAAAAACACTGCAATGTCCATGGAATCCCACGGAGGTGTTGGTTTACCGGAGGGGTAACAACCCGACCTAAGCTGCTTGGTGGTTTCTGAATTGTCATTGAATCCATGGTAACTCCATGCAAGTCCCACCAACATTTTGCATACATCTTGAATGTACAGACGTGAATTTGCCATGGCATTTACCATCATTTTTGCCATCTTCCAGATTTCAGCAAGCTGAAAAAGAAGTTTGAAACGAATCCCACCCGCCGTTCATATTTATATATTGAACACCCCCAGTGTCAATTGTATGGGCCCTAAGCTGTGATGCCATCCCCAACAAACAACAATGGTTTTGGGGTGGTGTTGAATATGAATCGGCCTTGTAATGTCTTGTAACCCTTCATTTGATTCGATGATTTTCCCAAGCTCTAAACCTCAATTTATACTGTACGTACTCATCAGTTGAATCCCTCATTTATAGATGTTTTTGTCCACTAAGACCTCCATTTATAGAAATTATAGATTATTTTCCCATTCAAAACTTCCATGTATAGATGATTTTCCCACTGAAAACCTCCATGTGTAGTGTATCTCTATAAATATATTTACATATATATATATATATACTGGTAGTGATCATTTTATCCCATATATGTTTGTTCCGCAGCTAGGACCATCCCTTCGAACACATTTTGGTGGAGCTCAGTGGCGTGGGGGACCCACAGGTGTCGCGGGTAGCTGGGGATCATCATAGCTATCATAGCTGGGTTATTAAACATCCACTGGGATAATCATAGCTGATAAAGATAGGTACCCAGGTTACCCAGGTGACCCAGGTTCATAAACTCAACCAGCTGGGTTCATAAACTGTAGCTAAGATAGCTAATGGGGTTCATACAATAACAAAAATAATAGCTAGCAGTAGCTGGGTTATTAAACATGAGCTGGGTTTATAAACTCATAGCTTGGAGGGGGCACCTAGTCATACACCTCCGTTTAGCTGATTGGCCTATTCTTGTGGCTGAGAAAAAATAAAACTCACATGGGTATGACTCAAAAAAAAGCAATAATATTGTGTAAATGGGTTATAAAGCAACAGTCCTTGGGTATTTGCTGGGCAACATGACTGTGAATTTGAATGATTCGGTCAATATTGATTGCGAGGCCTTTTTCTGACGAGGTCCAAGCTTAGCCATGAATCTATCCATCAGGAAATGAAGATTGAGCAACCGAAGAGTCGAAGGTGGTTTGGGTTCAACCAAAAGGAAGGCAGATTCCAACAGAAGAAATCAGTTTGGCCGGGGATGTGCCATGTTCAATATTTTCAGACCCAAATGTACACTCAGTATGCACCTGGTAATCAAAGGTGGGGGGGGGAATCCATGGAAATCCTCTATTTTAGAAAGCGTTTCAATGGGAAAATCACTGGTGGATTTTTTTTTTGCAATGATTCCCAGAGGCTGCACCCTGCAGGCCATTCGAGACAACTGGGCCCTGGCCATGGAGTGTCAGCTTCCTGCAGCACTCCTAACGTGCCTGGCGAGGGTCATCACGGTGGTGGATGCAACTCGTTGTGGATATGGTTCATTTTGAACCGATGGATTTGATGGGTACATGGGGCCCCCCTCAGTTGTAAGTTGGTATATAAAGCCCATGAACTATAGACTCTAGTGACTCTAGTCATATTACTTATATCATCTTATATCCATTTCTATCCTCCATAAACCCAAACGTCAACCAAGATATGCGCGCCAACTTAGCTATTTGGGTATGGGGTTAAATTAAAGACCTGGGGGACCACAGGGGTATTTTTAGTGTTAACCATCTAATTATTGGGATACCCGATTTTGACCCATACCCATCTAGGGGGCCCCAGCTTGTACCCTATGGTCCCGTATGTTTTTTTCAAGGCCAGCAGCTTTGCCCATGACTGGCAGGACACCAGGAAGGTGCCAATAGGGATGGGGGGACGAGATGGTGGGCAGGTCCCTTTAGAATTGGCCATGTACACTTAGTCAAGTTGGTTTATAAGTAACTTGACTAGGAGTTGTGGTATTTGTATCTCTATATAGATAGATGGGTTTACAAACCAACTTATAACGGGGGGGCACCACCTTGTAGCAGAGATAGATCCATCACTATATGGAAATCCTGAGCAGAGCAACCCAAATCTACCAAAATTCATGAGGAAAACCAAGCAAACATGGAGATATATGATGTGACAAGAACACGCGTGAAAGAAGACCCAACAAGGAGTTTTAGATTGAACCAACATAATTTATGAAAGCAATTGGCAATTGAACACAATGAGTCCATTAGTGGGTCCTGGGTTCCCAGATGTTGACCTATGCTCATGTTGCTGTGGACGAAACCGACAAGAAATGTGCCGATAAATCCAGTGGGAACTAGAGAGCATGAGGAGATAGCCACCCCAGATATGTGTACAATAACTAATAGTTCGGATAGCTGGATAGCTCCAATTGTACATACAACGA